CGACCACGCGTTGGGTGGTCGTACAGGTAGGAACCAACGTCTCACTCAATCGAACTGACGATCGATGAGGCGGTCGATCTGACTATCAATCGCAAGATCGATCTCACAATCGATCTCACTCGATCGATCTCACTCGATCGATCTCACTGTGGATGTCACTATGGATCTCTCCATCGATATCGCAATCGATATCACGATCGATTTCACTATCGATATCGCTATCGATCCCACGATCGATCTCACAATCGATCCCACTATCCCTCTCACCGTCGACCTGACAATCGATCTGACTATCGATCTCACGATCGATCTCGCTCGACCAATCGCACTATCGATCTGACTATCGATCTCAATATCGATCTCGCTGTCGATATGGCAATCGACATCAAGATCGATCTCGCTATCCATCTCACACTCGATTCCACACTCGATCTCGCTATCGCTCTTACCAAATCGATCTGATTATCGATCTCACAATCGATCTCACAATCGATCCCACAGTCGGTCTCACTCGATCGATCTCACTCGATCGATCTCACTCGATCGATCTCACGTTGGATCTCACCATCGATCTCACCATCGATCTCACAATCGATCGCACTATCCATCTCACCACCGATCTCACATTCGATATCACCGTCGATCTCACAATCGATCTCACGATCCCTCCTACTATCGACCGGACTCTTGGCCGCGGGCGCCCTAGCAAGTGAGGGTGACTCTTGCCCGCCCACGCAGCCCTTCAGCCTCTGTTCCTCTTCTCCTGCGACAAGTAAGTGTACCCGCTTTCCCTGGGGACGTTCTCGCAATTTGCTTGGTTTGGCTTGGTCTGGACCTGATTGCGCCAGAGACGCCCCTATTGGCATCCCAACAACTTTGTGAGACCACCATATTGCTGCACTCGTTCTGCGAATCAACATGCAATCGCAAACTGCGCCGCGCGCGGAGGGTGCTAGGCCGGTCGAAGGAGCCTGGTGGAAGAGTCCGACAGAAGCTTTGGAGAAGCCCCAAGAAGCCCTATAGAAGTCCCAAGAAGTCCTATAGAAGCCGCAAGAAACTCTTCAGAGGCCCGAAGAAGATCTTCAGCCCCCCCCCGAGGAGCTCGACGGATGCCCCAAGAGATTCTTCGGAAGTCCCAAGAAGCTCTGTAGAGGCCGCGAGCAGCTCCCCAGACGCCCCAAGAAACTCTTCAGCCTCTTCAAGGAGCTCTTCAGCCCACAAGATCTTCAGCCCCCAAAAAAGATCTCCAGATGCCCTGAAAGGCTCGACATTATCTCTTTGTGCAGGCCAGCACCCCAATGAAGCTATCGGGATGTCCTAAGAGGCTCGTCATATGTTTTTGTATCGGCTATGCGGGGGGGGTCGGGTCTCTTCCTGGAGGCTACCCCCCCCCCTTTGCCGCACTCGAGGGTTTAGAGGGTCCGGGGCACCCCTGGCCATACAACCACTGGGCCACATAAACACCCAACAAGCCACACACAAACACCTCCCTGAAGAGGGGGAGGGCGAGAAGAAGGAGGCAGTGGACGAGCAGCGTGCGGCACGCAAGCATGCGCCCTAAACCTACCAGGCCTACTCGAGGTCCTTGAGCATCTGCTCCACAAAGCTGACCTCGTCGGGCGGTCCCATGTTGATCTTCTTGATAACCCCATCGTCGATGAGCATCGCGAAGCGCTTGCACCTCGCGTTGCCGAGCACGGCCATTGCTTCCGGGGCGTCCAAGACCATCCTGAGCGCGTTGGTCAACTCCGAACCCGCGTCCCCCAGGAAGTGGAAGTAGTCGCTGTCCTGCAGGCCCTGGTCCTTGGCCCACGCGTCCATGACCGCGCCATCGTTCACGCAGTAGAAGATGACGTCGCTCACGCCCTTCTTCTTCAGCTCCTCAGCCTTCGCGGCGTAGCCAGGAATCTGCTTGCTGGATCAGACGGGCGTGAAGGCGCCGGGCAGCCCCACGAGCACGACCTTCTTGCCCTTGCAGAAGTCGTTAAGCTTGACCATTGCTGGAGGGAAGCCCTTGCAGAGGCCTCCCAGATGTGGCCCGAGCAGGTGCGATCGGAGGATCGCGCCGCATCAGAGACGTCGGCGGGGGGAAAGGCGGAGATGCGGCGCGATCATCCGACCCTGTCCACTCCGATCCCAGCTGGGAGGCCCAGGCCTTGTGCAGTGCCACGTTGGGGATGGGGTGTCCGGGCTGCCCGTACATAAACCTGGCCTGGGGAAGCCTGCCCAGCGTGCGCTGCCCCGCCGCGAGGCGCGAGAGGCAGGCGGCCGACCGCAGGCTCGCCATGCCGAGGGAAGCCCTCCTCCGAGGCCGCGGGGGCGCGCAGCGGCAAGGAGTGCTTTCAACCAAAACGACTGCGCGTCAGGTTGCAGGAGGAAGAGGGTGGAGGGAGGAGAAGAAGGGGGACCCAGAGATCCGAGGCTCCGGGAAAACAGAACGGCACGTTTGGGGCTTTTTTCGGCATTGGGGCCCTCAACGGCCCCCAGGACCGTCAACAAACGGCTCGGGACGAAAAGCTGGGCCCTAGCGAAGTGGTCCAGACATCCGAGGGCCCACGCATCGAAAAAAGTTGGAGCGCCAGATGTCTGGGGGGGACGAGGGGGTAATTAAGGGAGGGGATGAGAGGGGGGAGGCCCTGACATCCTCCGACCTGAGGTTCCAGCCCGCGACCCCGAGGAGCTGCCGATCCCTTCCCCCTGGGGCCAGCCCCCGGTCAACTTTTTACGCCCCTGGGGCCCGACGAGAGCCCCGACGAGGCCCGACAAGGCCCCAGAAGGCCGAAATCGAACAAAAACGCTTGGATCGAAAAAAAACATGTCGTCGGAGACCTGGGAGCGGGGGGGAGACAGAGGGCTGCCGATGCTTTCAGAGACTCTCACCGGTGGGCGGCAAGCGGTGCCGACTCTGGACCCTTCTATGGACCCCATGGTGCGGGAACAGCCGCCCTGACGCAGACGTCCAGGCCAGCGGAGAGCTGCGCGTTGCACCACTTCTCGTCGGCGGCGCGCAAGGGAGGAAGGCAAACGGGGCAGGCCTTCTCAGAAGGCTCAGAAGGCCCCCGGCCTTCTGGAAAGCTTTCTAAGCCTGTCTCGGAAGCCCCGCCGCCTTATGATAAGGCCTGCCCCTCTCACTTCCCACCTCGGCGGACCGCCGAACCATCTCCCCCGTCGATCTCAGAGCCTGTTCCCAAACCCTGGAAGGAAGCGTACATGCAACAATTACAACGTGCGTATCATTAAAATATGTTGACCATTCTCATGCCCTCCGAAAAAATCCGGCAACCTCGTTTTCTGATCGTGGAGCTTCAGAGGTCTCGACCCCACCACTCCCACGGACTTCACGCCGTGGGCCGTTTCTTGCGTCCCTCTGGCCCGACATAGCAAGAAGAGAACTCGGCACCTACATGAACTTTCGAAGGTCCGCGCGAATATCTTGGATCGGCGCGGGCCTCCAAAAGCTCATGTCTGTGCCAATGTCTTTTTGTTCTTCTTCGAAGGATGGACCTCTGGAGGGCCAAGCTTATCACAGAATCTGCCGCTGCAGCTTCCCGTCCGGGGGCACCAGAGGCCTCGGCCAGCGCCGTGGGCGCGCGGCGCGCGCGCCATGTCTGGCAGGCTGCCCCTCCCACCCACCCGCCGACGGGTGTCCTGCAGCCATCAGCCTGCCATGATGAACGATGAATCGGGAACGGAGGGGCTATTCTGGCCGCGGCGAGCCTTGGCCACGCAGAGGTTCCCTGGCCTGCATCTCAGGAACGGCCCACAAGCCAGAGCCCCTCCTGAGCCGTGGTCCTCATTTCGGCGTCCTGACTGTAGCGGACCTGGGTCCCTGAAAAGCCCACATCGCGTGATGCGCCTTCAGAAAGGGATGTGTGCACACTGGAGGAGGAGAGGGTGGCGGCTAAACAAGAGGGGGAAAGAGTAAAGGAGGGAGAGGAGGGAGAGGAGGGAGGAGGGCCCCACATGGAAGCGGCAGTCGAGACTCAGCATGGGCCATGAATGCCGCCCCATGGCCAGCCGTGGATGACCAACATGACCGCCACGTGCGCCAGATGCACTGGGCAGGCCAGATGCGTCCAGTTTGTCGGGCGCGCCGACTGCGCCAACTGCGCCACGTGCGGCAAGTGCGAGAGGCCCGCCAGACGCACCAGTTGCGTCGGGCGCGCCACCTGCGCCCAGAGAGCCAGCGTCGCCAAGTACTACAGAGCATCTACACTGCCTTGTGCGAACAGTTCAGCACCATGCTCGCGGCCACGTCTTGGCAACACCTGCAAAAACAGGGCCACACGGCGTGAACGTTGTACTGCCGCTTGCTACTGGTGGCGGGAGGCCCCAATGCTGTCTTGCGCGCATGCTTCATAATCGTAATCCCTCCTGGGCCGTGGTTGCACATTGCTGAGCAAGACAGAGAAGACTTACTTTATCTTGGTTGTGTGACGGCGGGGGTCTCATATTATCTGGTGTGCGCCGCCATCTGCACTGTGTGATATTTTGGACCAGGATGATTGGGGTGACCTGGTTGGCAGACACCCGGGAAGGAGGAACAATTGGCAAAGTGCGGAAATATGGGTGGGGGTAGGGACATGGGTAGGGGCGAAGAAGTACAACCTGACGAATCTGACGAAGGGAAGGGCGGGGAGGGGGGGGGCAATGGTTCCAAAAAGGAGCACCACAGGCTGCTTTGCTCACACCCAACCCTCCTATACCAACAGACGTACCACCAACCAGTTGACAGCCGCGGATAGCCGATGAGGGCAGTAGGTGTGCGCCAGGTGCGCCAGGTCTCCACCTTGCGCATGAGCACTCGCGGACCAGAACCGCCAGCCATCCACGCAAGGTGCTCCCAGACTTTTGGAGAAGGGGAGGGAGGGAGGAAGGGAGGAGGAGAAAAGCAGAGTAGAGGAGCAGCGGCAGTAGCAGAGGAGTTGGGCGTTGACGCACTGGAGGCACACTGGTAGAGGGGACACTGGTAGCGGGACACCAAGGACCCCTGGGGCGGCCTCGTGGTCTGCGTCCGCCTTGGCCTCCTCGAGGAGGCGAGTGATCATCGTGTCGATCAGCTTTTTTACCTTGCAAGGCGACGGCGAGGGGAGGACGGGCGGCAAGCGCTCCTTGGCGGCATGCAAACCCGGTTGGGCGAGGGTGGGCGGTCTTCCGAGAGGGCAGGGATCCTCTTGGAGGGGATCGCCCCCTCCACTTCCGAGGCTGCCAGGCCGGCTCCTGAGACGGGCAGGAGGGCTCACGAGGGAGGCAGGGGTGCCGCCCGAGGAGGGCCGCACCCCTCGCCCGATCCCCCCGCGCGCGCCGACACGGGGCGAGCGTGCCAGGCGCACGTGCCAGATGGGGAAGCGGCGGACGCTGCGGGGGCTGGGCGAAGGGTGCCAGAGGGGGAGGGCAGGCACACCCCTCGCCACCATCCTTTCCACCCCGCGATCCTCTCAACACAAGTAGCACTACGTACAACCGAGCCGTGCACGCCGCGGCCGCTGAAAATCACGGGTCGGGCCGACAAGCACGAACAGAGGCGTCCCCCCGCCGCCAGCCCCGTCGAGGCTAGAGATACCAGGAGTGGGGATTCCGAAACGACGGCTCCAAAATGGGCGCAGGGATCTGCATGAGAGGGGCAGGTGGCCTCGATTGCTGACAGGACCTACCCCTTCCTTCGCCGAGAAGTTCATGACTCTGGCCAAATATCTGTGGACAAAAAACAATGTCCAGTAATGTGGGGTCCAGCCTCGCCCACTGGGCTGCCCAGCGCAGCATATTCGGAAAGCCCCCAGCAAGCGCGGCGCAAGGTACTTGCCTCCTTACCCGCCTCTTTCTAGCAACTCAGGCCCACGTGTGCTCAAAGCTCATTGCTCATGGCTATATCAGGTTGTTGGGTGGTACGGTCAGTAATTACATCAAACTAGACACTGGGCAGTCTGCACCAAGCCAAATAACACGAAATCAGCCGAACCGGCGCGTGAGCCCCAAAAATCGTCAGCTTGAGCTCCGCTCTGTTTGGGGGGGCGCCGAAAGGGCTCTGCCGGGGCAGGGGTGGGGGGGAATTCAGAATGCTCCCGCGCTCGAGTTTCAAAATTGGAGAGGTCCCCCCTGTTTTGCTGTCGCGCGCGGATCTCAACACGGGAGGAGACTCATAGAGCGTGAGCTTGAAGTCCGCTCTGCTGGGAAGGGAGAAGCTCGGGGGGTGTTGGGGCAAGGGAGGCGGGCGGGGAAGGTGTATTCACCGCGCTCCCGCGCACGAGCTTAGGTTTACTGGCGGCCCAACCAAGACGGCCCAAGGAGGGCGCAAGAGGAAGAGGGACAGGAGACACACAGGCAGGGAGGAGGAGGAGGAGGAGGAGGAGGAGGAGGAGGAGGAGGAGGAGGAGGAGGAGGAGGAGGAGGAGGGGGAGGAGGAGGAGGAGGAGGAGGAGGAGGAGGAGGAGGAGGAGGAGGAGGAGGAGGAGGAGGAGGAGGAGGAGGAGGAGGAGGAGGAGGAGGAGGGAGGAGGAGGAGCAGGAGGCAGGGAGAAGCTGTTTTGCCATCGACGGATTCACCTAACAGCTTTCTCACTGGCAATGAGGGACCTTCCAGCACGACGCAGACAATCCTCGCTGAGGAGTTAATCTGACCCCTCTGAATCAGAGAGAGTGCGGACCTCACCCAGCCTGGTACGTACCAACGCCAGCAGTCCAGGGTCTCAGCCTGGGCCTCTGGGGGAGGGGGTTCTCCTTCAGGGGAGAAGTCCTGCACATACGTGCGAAAACGAAGAATGTAATTTTCTGCGCCCACTGTCACGCCATCTTTACGACGAGACCAGTGGGGGTGGTTCCCCTTGCACAGATCGAACAAGCCGTCGCGTGCGCACGAGACGGAGAATTCAGGCACCGTTCCACAAGTCCACGGACGCGCCCTCCTGTCGAGAGGCTTCGCACCGCAAACAAATAGAAAAGGACCGAGCCGTCACTGCAATCGAAAGCAACCGTTTTGTGCTCTAGCTCCTCCTGGTGAGCCGCATCGAACTTCGAGTCATTGGGGCAGTTACCTGGAGGCGGTTCCAAAAACCGAACGCCTGTCCCGAAGACAAACGACACACCTCCAGATACCAGCCTACATCTCCCACATGACCCACGAAAACCCTACCCTCGGCCCTGGGGACAGGTTCAGGAGGGTTTCGCCACAGCGGCAAAAGGCCTGCCGCCAATATGCAGAGCGCACGCGCGCTGGCAACAAACTCATCAACAACGCATAGCCTGCTCGGACCACTCGGGCGCAGTTGCAGGCCGCGATTGGCCCCTGCGTCCGCGTTAGAGAGTTTCTCCCCCTGAGGAAACGCTCGCAATCTGAAATGCCTCCTGCCGCTGGAGCCAGGTGGGCATTGACGCCAGTAGCTCATGTAACATTGCGCCCTTCAAACGCGCTGGCTTGAAGCAGCATACCAGAGAAGATCCACTTGCAAGAATATCTCCCTGGCGCAGGCAGCTTGCTCTGCCGGGCTGCATTGGCGCATTCCGAACATACAGCCGAAGGGCAAAGAGCACACTGAGCAACAACACACCCTGCAGCGAACTTCGCCGCCCGGGGGCATCGAGAAATGAGCCCAGATTGCGCCTCGAACCTCTCCAGGGCAACTTCCTTCATCCGAATTCACGACGATAGCCCGCGCCGCCCTGGGGGGGTCGTTAATGGGGCGGCGCTAGCAGGGTCAGTCAATGAAGAGATGCCCCCACATTTCTCCGTCGGCAGGGGCCCCAGGGCCGTCGGGGCCATCGAGGGCGCGCCCACATGCCACGCATACTGCACGGCGCTCGCGCCGTCAGGGACGGACTCGAGCAGGGCGTTGGCGGGATGGGCGAAAGCCCCACGAAGATACAGAGCAGCCTCAGCAGGAGACACCTCCGTTTCTATAGCTCCTGAGGCCTCTCTGACTCGCTCCTCTGGAACATGCTGGACCCTCAGCCCCACGGCTCCAGTGCCCTGACAACCGTAAAGACGATGGGGCAAGGAGTCAGGGGCATCGCGGCAGAGAGCACAGAACGGGTCAGCATCCGATCCGCACTCAATGGCGCTGTCCGCACGCTCGAACCCACCCTCTCTGAGCAGGGGGGAACTTCCTGGAGGCACGCGCAGCTTTAACAATGCCCAAACAACGGCGGCACCCAAAACCCCATGCGGACCCAAGCCCAACCGAGATAATTCTTCCATGCGCAACATTCCCAAAAGTTTGGGGGGGTCTAACCGAGGGGGGGGGGGGGGGAGGGGGGCGAGACCGCGATCCTCGACCACCGCCATCAACGCGGCCACGCGCCATCCCAGGCGCAACAGCGCGCGGCGAAGGGCGGTGACAGGGCCGCGCGGCCCTGCCCTGACAGGAGACCGTTCGCCACGCTTCTCAACTCGCGCAGGGGAATGGAACCATGGAAAAACTCGGCATGCGAACGCCAAACCTCCTGGCTCGATCCCAACATCGAGGCACGCGCCGCTCGCGAGCACGGGTATTCCGAAAGACTGCTGCACGCCGCTGGTACACGGGCCGTGACGAAAGGGCGAACAGCGGAGAAAGCCCACTGGTCCGCGAACCCGACGCCCGCCCCATGGGCCCCCCAGCGACGGAAGCCCGAAGCCAAGATCCCGAGGCCCTGCTGCTGCCGACGCGGTCGCTTTGCCACTTGAGACGCCAGGCCCCCCCACGCATGACAGCCATCCTGACTTTCATCTTTGAGCACCTGCCTGAGACTCGAGCAGCCTTGCCGGCGCTGAAACCAACTCCGAGATTGACGGTAGACCCAAGCACCTTGCCTCTAGCTCTCCTACGCCAGGGGAAACGTCGGAAGCCAGGCGCTCGCTGGGCGCCACCGCTCAAACTGTCAAGCGAAAGCTGGCACTTCATTTCCGCCGCGATGACACGATGCATGGCGAACGCGGCACTAACAATACTCCACAACTTGGCTATGACTGCCAGCGCACGAAACCTCAGCGTCATCAGTGTGCACGCCAAACTCCTGCTGAGGATGCCTTGGAAGCGAATCGAACGCATCCATCGCAAATACTCTCGCGCGACGTCGCGAAGCTACAACCCACGACGGCCCCCCAGCCAAAAAAAGCCCGCCAGCAATCCAGCAAACGAGATGAAACGACCACACCTGCACGCGCACGCAAAGACGCGAGCGAGACCCTGAGGGAATCCATGCCTAACACAGTCATCTCATTAATCACCCAGGTTGATCACCAGCACTACACTGCTTGCGAGCAACGCCCACGTCTGAGCGCAGCGCCTGTCTCCAGAAACCGTTCGAGGCTCTTCGGAGTGCCCTCGCGGCATAGCACCGACGGGGACGCCGCAGCTCCCGGGATACAGCCAGGGGCCGCCGAGACGGCCACGAACCCTATACTGCGAGCAGAACAAACACATCGGTCGGAAACCGCCCGCAGGCTTTGCAAGAATAGCAATGAGTACAGCCGAAAACTGCTGAAAAAGTTGCCCCACTGACTCCATCAGCTCGAAAAGCACGGGAAGACCAGCGAGCCCGTCATCACAGGGAAGCGTGATCGGAACCACCGCAAGTCACAGCACCCTTCTCGCATTTCTTAGAGACGGAGCGGAGCTGGTCGGGGGTGGCCCCCCGTAGAGCAGGAGCCAGAAAGGGGGCGAGGGCGCGCCTGGGCCCTCGCCCAAAAAATGCTGAAACTTGCCCCCCCTCCTCTTCGCCAGAAGAGAGCGGGGGTCCGCGGCCAACGAGCCATCCTTGACACGCGTCGCGATTGGCTGCCAACGCGCGGGGTCTCCAGTTATCACGAGGACCGACTCTCTTGCCTCCCTCGCCAAAGCCTGCCGCAAGCTGGGTTCCCCAGTCCGCGTTCGCCCTCGAGCGAGACCGAAATCTGGCCATCGTCGGCGCCGCCATCGAGGAAGCCAGCCGCGCCCCGCCAATCTCAATCATTCCCAGACCACAACCTGGGACCCCGCTGGCGCGCGAAGCGCTGTATGATATCACACTAAACGGAAAACTCACTCTCGTGAACAGCAACGAAAACGGGAAGACTCTCGAAGACTGCGCGCATGTCCACGAACTGCTTCGCGCCAACTCGGCTGCCCCGCTGGGGAGCCACTGGCGCGCGACACTGCGCCACCAGCCAACGCAAGGCCCCCGTCCTTCCACATCACCGATGTCCACATCCACCGCGGCCCCCTACTGCGAGACCCCCCGTTGAGCATGGTCGACACCGAGAAAAAAAACACCCTCGGCAATGTCAGCTCAAGCTGCATAGCCCCTGGCAAGCTACTCCATTGCCCTAGCTGCGCCCACGCGAGAGACAACATCTAAGCCGGGCTGGGCAACGTCGGGCACTATATCCCAGTCCTGCCGCTGCGGGCGAGGGCCGAAGACGGGCCCCGACGGGAAGGGGGGAGGGCCCTGCAGCTGAGGATTTTGAGAGAGGCAACGGATGGGTGGAAGGGAATATCCACCGGGCCGCGCGGGCTCAAGCCTGCGTCTGACACAACAGAACAAGAGGTGACGGCCTCGCCAGGCCCTCCAGAACAGAAAAAGCTTCCCCGCCTCGAAGGCGGACCTTCCCCGAAGTCAGCGCAATCCCCAGCGTCGACCAACTGCCCCTGACGCTCGCAGGACAGCGCCCCAAAATCCACGTTAAAGCAACCCCCTCAACCCCCTTACGCGAAACGAGCCCGAGGAGGCGCACCCGGCGCCCAACGAGGCCAGGAACACCAGGCTTCTGTCCGAGTGTTTCTCCGAGCTGTGGTGGCACAATGAGCCCACGCTAAACTTGAAACCCCCAGGGACCTGAACTCTCGCTGTCATCGCTTGTCCAGGACAAACGCAAGCACCTCCCACGGTAGCATCAAGACCTAGACAATCTCCCACTAAGTTCACACCTCCAACACTAGTGCTGTCAGCTTTGTTCTGAACGGCTCTGCGCCAAAGAAACTTCCACACGTTCCTCGACCATCAGACGGACGCAGCGCAAAGTGACGTCGCTGAGCAAACAAGGCGAACCACCAAAATAAAACAAAGCATAAAAAGGCGATGCTCTTGGGCGAGCACGATCTGCGCAGGCACGTCAGCAAGCATATTCTTCAGCTTTCCCCAACAATTGCAACTCATGCTGCGTATACTCAGCTGGACTCCACTCCACCATTCAGGTCCCAGGCCCTGTCCGGGAGACGGGAGAGCGAAGGAGGGGAGAGGAGGAGCCAGGATCCCGGGCCCTGGGACCATCTCCCACACGGTGTCCTTGCCAGAGCTATCAGGGACAGGGCAGCATTCTAACTCGGCAATAATTTGCAAGGTTACAGGATTCAGCTTGCAGGGCAGAGTGACCAGCATCGACTCCCCACCAGAATCGCTGCGCCCTCCAGAGAGTGTGCTTAACAACCCCCAAAAGGCCGCGCTGGCGGCAGAGAGACTGGACGGCACAACTTTTTTACCGGAGGGAGCGCCTGGCGAAAGGCCGAAAGACCACGGAATCAGTGTTGGACTCTTGGGAGATGATCCCCCCCCGTATGCAATCTGGCGATCACCCTGACGAAGCGAGGGGGGGATCCCATGAAAGCAAGGCATCAACACGCTGCTTGAGCCACTCTCTGGCCGCGACCTCAGCAGCGCCCTCAGCTTCATCCGGAACGACCTCCTCTGGTGCAGCAGTGTTCTTTGTTTGGGGGGGGGCACACTCGCTGCTGCCACCGCTGGAGCTGCCGATTAATTTCCCCCAGCTAGCTCCGTGCACATTTGTTTGGTACCCTCGCTGAGCAGCTTGTACCTCGCCTCGATGTGTTGACGATCCTCCTGACTGAGCCCTTGCTCCTTCTCATTTATCGTGGAAAAGTCGACATCCACTGCCAGCGTCTGCTCGAGCGTGCCGTCAAGAATGTGCCGAATTGAAAGAACAGCTGTTCCAGGGGGCTTTGCATGGACGCATGGACGCTCTCGGAGTACTTTCCCACTAACTATTGATGTGTGGTCTCTGCTGACTGGAGGTCCTTACGCAACTCGGCAACCAATTTTTTCTGCTTCTTGATTGTCTCCTGTTGTTCCTCCTATCTCGTCACAGTATGCTTGAGTTTTTTCCGTAGCCTTGAGCTTACGGAGTGCAAGATTTACACGCATCTGCAGCGGAGGCTCCGACACTGGCGGCCTCCTCGATGCAGCGCCCTTGCGGTACATGGCTGCCGCAGCCATACCACCAACTTTTCTCCATGATTTTTGCCAAGGTCTCAATCTCCGACATCTCTAAGGCGTCTGTGCCCTCGCTCGGGAGCGAGGGCGCATTGCCGGCTGATCTGGACCGTAGAAGAAGGAGAGAGGAGGAGCAGCAGGAGGAGAGGAGCAAACGCTACGGGCCGGCAACAGGCATGCCAACCAGCCAGCCAGTCAAACTATCCGCCGACCGTCAACCAGCATGCCAACGTCGGGTAACTAGCCCGCCAACAAGCTAGCTAACCACACAGAAGCTAAACAGTCCACAAAGCAACCAAGCCTTTGAGCCAACAGCACCCCAACCAACCAACCAACGACCAACCTCTTGACAAGACAAATGCCAGCCCACGGCGAGCCAAAAACCAAGTCCACTGCCAGCCAACCCCTGAGCCAACGCCCATCCAGCGGCCAGCAAACGGCCATCCACATGACGACGGGAGAGCCCCGGATCGGCGGCACAAGATGGAGGCCACTACAATCACACTCTACCTTACCAAGAATTTACGACATTCGACTCGCACTAGGCTCACATCTGGCTCTCTGCTGGCGGTTTGCACTCGACGGTTTGCACTCGACCTCCATCCGATTCAAGCGCACTTCGAGCTCAGCTCGCACGCGAGTCACCTCCTTGGGATCCGGAATGGTGGGCTGAGAACAGAGCTCCAGGCGATGAGACCGCATCACCGCTCCAGAAGCAGCGACGGAGCAGGAGGAGCAGCCAGAACAGCTTCGAAACAGCCCGTGGCGCGCATGCACATGCCCGCGCGCACTCCGTCTGGGCGCCGCATCTCGCTCAGCGCCCTCTTCTCTTGCAGGCACCCTTCGTCGGGTTGCCTATGCTGTGCAAAATCTCTACGGTTCCGTCCAGTGCTACTATCTCTGTTTTGAGGGTAGCGATTGCGAATCGCCTTTTCTAACCGACAACTGGCTCAGGTCAGCAAGCCTCGGACAAAGCGGCGGCACCAAGTGCCGCAGAGAGCCCAGGGGATCGTTCAAGAATGGCTCTACCTACGCTCCCGCTTCCCCAAGCCATACGGTCAGGAAATGTTGCTTAGCGTGTCGCGGCGGCGGCCCCAGCGAGACGCTATGCCCTGCAAGCAGATAGCGTGTCGCTCCCCTCGGCGGGGCGGGAGGCTCGGAATAGCTCGGGACATTAACGCTTGGGAGCGAGGACGTGGATAGCGTGCCGCGCCGAAGCGTGGTGAGCCAGAGCCAGCGGAGCTACACGCTAAGCCAGAGCTCCTGACCATAGCAAGGAGGGAGGAGCAGCAGCATAAGAAAATGGGAGATGGGGGAGAGCGGCGGACCTTCGCGAAGGGGTCGGCCGCCAGCTTCTGAGCCAGCATACCGAGCGACTTGCTCTTCAGGCGCGAGCTCTCCTGCGGGCTCACCCCAGCAGCTGGGGGTTACCGCTCCCGCCCCTCTGTCCTCATCCCAACCCCTCCGTCCTCCTCTTCCAACGTCGCGGGCCTGAAGGCGGCGCCGACAACTACGGTCTCGAGCTTTTGCTTGAGCAGTTGCAGGAAGCACCGCACGGTAAGCAGTCAGCAAAACTATTATTGAGCATTTCGGTTGGAGGTACGTGGCTGCAGCCGAGGAAGAGGCGGGTTTAGCACAGCTCGATCTTTATCACGGATGCAAACGCGAGCCCGAAACACCTATGCACAGGCACTGGCTCTGGTCAAAAAACTGCGAGCACGAGATTTACACGGCGTCGGATGACCTCGTCCCCGAAGCGACAGCGCAAGGGGAGACTGATGCATGTGTTTGGCCCCCGGCCCCGGCCTCGGCCCTGGCCATGGGGCCCCAGAGCCCCAGCCACGGTCCCGTCGCCTCCCAGACGCCCGCCCGCCCGCCCGCCCGCCCGCCTCCTCCTCCTCCTCCTCCTCCTCCTTATCCTTATCCTTATCCTTATCCTTATCCTTATCCTTATCCATGTTATTATCTTTATCCTTGTCCTTATCCGTATCCTTATCCGTATCCGTATCCTTATCATTATCCTTATCATTATCATTATCATTATCCGTATCCTTATCCTTTTCCTTACCCTCCTCATTATCCTCCTCCTCCTCCCCAGCCTCCTCTTCTTCCTCATCCTCATCCTCCTCATCATCATCATCATCATCACCACCACCACTACCATCAGCCGCAGCAGCATCATCATCATCATCATCATCATCATCATCATCATCATCATCATCATCATCATCGTCATCATCAGCATCATCAGCATCATCAGAATCATCATCAGCAGCAGCATTATTAGCATCATCATCATCAACATCATCAGAATCGTCATCATCAGCATCATCATCGTCAGCATCATCATCAGCATCATTATCATCCTCATCCTCATCCTCATCCTCATCAGCATCATCGTCATCATCATCGCCATCATCATCATCATCATCATCATCAGCAGCAGCATCATCATCATCATCATCATCATCATCATCATCATCATCAGCATCATCATCAACGACAATCATAATCCCCCATTCCCCCCCTCCTCCTCCTCCTCCTCCTCCTCCTCCTCCTCCTCCTCCTCCTCCTCCTCCTCCTCCTCCTCCTCCTCCTCCTCCTCCTCCTCCTCTACCTCCGCCTCCTCCTCGTGCATGCACCGCCCGCGCTATGTTCTGAGCGTGTGGCAGGGTCATCAGCTCGTCACTGTTGTTGTCGTCGTAGTCGTCGTCGTGGTCATCGTCGTCGTGCTTCTGGGTCGGCGGCACTGGTAAGGCCTTCACAATTTGGACTCTTGAGGAGGGGACTTGAGACTGGAGACGGGACGGTGCATTGCAGCATCGTTGATGCATCCTGGGCTTACTATGGTCATCTCATTGCTCCTCCTCCTGCTCCTCCTCCTCCTCCTCCTCCTCCTCCTCCTCATTTTCCTTCTGCTCCTCCTCGTCTTCATCCTCCTCCTCCGATTGCACAACGACCTCGCCATCCTCCTCTTCCTTCTTCCCCCATCTTTCTTCCTCATACTCCCCCTCCGCCTCCGCATCCGCCCGCGGCCGCCACATCTCCTCGTCCTTCCCTCCTCATGCTGCCTCTGCTCGAGTTCGTGCCCCCTGCCCCCCTCCCACGCGGCGTCTCCTCGGCGAGGAACTCCATGACGCGGCCTCGCGGGGTCTGCTCGGACGCTTGGCTTCGCCTGGAGGCCGCCTGTTTGCCCAGCCATACTGCAAGTAGTGGAGAGATGGCCCTGGCCTGGGAAAGATTAGCACCCTGCAACAGATCCATGTCCCCACTGGGGTATCCTTGGCCCCACATGCTCCAGGGTTCATGGCCCGCGGGCCTCCACCGCTCCCCAGATGGGATGGGTCCCAGGACGCCCCCCCCCAGATGGGATGGGAGGGTGACGACGACGACGACGACGACGACGACGACGACGACGACTTCTGGACCTCTCCTGGAGGCAAATACCCTTGTCGCTGGATGGTTGCACCTCTCCCGCTCCCTGAAGCACGCACCACAGCACCACACCACACCCACACAGGGAGGGGGGGGGGGGCACCGCAGCACCACACCACACCCACAGGAGGGGGACCCATCGGGCGGGTGGGGGGGCGCCCGATCCCATTGGCATTGGGGGGGGCCCAGTCCTGGACCATATATGATCCTGAGTCGAGGGTTCCCGCCCCCCCCCCCCGATTGGATGGACCCCAAGGTTCCACAGCCCACCCACCCCAGATGGGATGGGGGGGACGACGACGACGACGACGACGACGACGACGACGACGACGACGACGCCGCCGCCGCCGACGACGACGACGACGACGACGACGACGACGACGACGACGCTGCCGACGCCGACGCTGACGCCGACGCCGACGCCGACGCCGACGCCGCCGACACTGAGGCCGACGACGTCGCCGACGACGACGCTGACACCGACGCCGACGCCGACGCCGACGCCAACGCCAGCGCCTCCGACGACGAAGACGACGACGACGACGACGATGCCGACACCAACACCAACACCAATACCACCACAACCACCACCACCACCCAACAACAACAACAACAACAACAACAACAATTACTAGCACGTGGGGACACTCCGTTCTCACCAGTGCCAGGGTTTTCATAGGAGGCGGGCAATACCCCCACTTTGTGGGGGGGCCGGTTCAAGCTCTACCAAATTTCCAAACGACTCTTCGCCACCACCCACACCCAGCTTCCCGCCCTATGACGTTCGGACACTTCACTTCGTGGCATGCGGACGACCGTGGCTACTATTCAGGGCCCCGCGGCCGACGACGACGGCGTGCGCGCGCGAAGAAAAAACGAATGTGTCCCGCATGGTATTATTTGACAGGGATGATGGCCCTGGCAGGTGCGCAACCGTTGTTGCAGAAGTTCGAAAAAGTTGCTCGCAAAAGCCCGTTTGACAGAAATGTTTAAAAAGTGTTGGGTTTCCTACGAATCCGCAAGAGCGCGCGGGATGAAATTTTGACAATTTTTTTTTGAAAAACCATTGGTTTTTTGATGTTTTTATGTTAAAATCGCTACGAAAACTAAGGTTTTGGAAGGATTTCGTCTTGCGCGCGCGAATGTCCACTTTACCTTATTTTTTGCAAGGGATTCTTGAAGTTTGGTTATGTTAGAACAAGAAATGTCCACTTTAGCTTATTTTTTGCAAGGGAAAACCGATCGTAACAACACAACCGGATCCGGACCAACCCGTTTTGCCTGAGACTTCCTCACGAAAATGATGAAAATGTGGCTGCGGCCTAGGCGCGGCGGGGGGGTCGTGCACCAGGGGTCCCAACAATAATTATTCTTTAGAAGTAATAATGTTCAACAACAACAACAGCAACAACAACAACAACCACAAAAACAACGACCACAACCACAGCCACAACAACAACAACATCAACAACAACAACAAAAACAACAACTACAACAACAACAACAATAACAACAACAACAACATCAACAACAACAACAACAACAACAACAACAACAATAATAATAAGTATAATATTGATCGATCCTACCTGCTCACGTGCCAACCAATACGTATATCCCAGATCCTCGGTACCCGCCCTCGTCGTCTTCGATCGTACCCCCTTTGGGGTATATCTTCCTTAGCTGCCACGTGTATTTAGTGCAGCCCCTAAAAGAAGGGAAGAGAGGACGGGTGGAAGGGGGAGGGAGAAGAATGGAGCACGAGAGAAAGGAGGGTGGGGCAAGGAGCAGAAAACAAGTGGTAGAACCAGACGGGCAGATCGGGTGGGCAGACCCATAGCAGGCAGGTCGGGAAGGCGGGCCCAGGCGACGAGGTCGAGCAGGCGGGTTGCTGAAGCGTGGGTCATGCATGAATCGCGAGGCAGTCTCGAGCGATAGCGCGATTCCCAAGTAAATCGTGAGAAAAGCCAAAGCGAGAGCGTGATTCCTGAGCGCCGAGGGCGCATCATCTGAATAAGTTGCGAGGAAGTCCCACGAGAAAGCGCGATGCGTACATGAACTGTGAGGATGTCCCGCGCGAGAGCGCGATTTGGGAACAACATGTAAGGAAGTATCAGGCGGGAGCCGTTGTTGTTGTAACTCGGGGGCCAGGGGCCCAGTTTGAGTAGGAAGACTTTCCCTTATAAAGAACAGGGTACAAGCCCCGGGGGAAGCACTTCAATTAAAAAACAGAATGGTCACCGGAGGGGGTGGATCAACAACAATTATTCTTCAGCAATAAGAGTTCAACAACAACAGCAGCAGCAACACCAACAACCACAACGCCAACCACATCATTGTTATTGTCATCGTCATCATCAACATCAACATCACCATCATCTACAACAACAACAACAACAACAACAACAACAACAACAACAACAACCACAACCACAACCACAACCACAACCACAATAGCAGCAACAACAACAACAACAACAACAACAACGGACACCGACGACGACGACGGCGACGACGACGACATCAACGACAACAACCACAACAACAACAAAGACGACGACGACAACGACGATGACGGCACAAGACCATGTATGAATCAGACATGCTCCAGGGTTCCCCCCTCCCCGCTGGATGGGTATGCCCGTGAGCCTCGCAAAGGCCTCGCAAATATAATTGCCCCACCCGCTCCCCGTCGTCGTTATCGTCGTAGTTGTCGTCGTCGTCGTCGGCGGCGTCGTCGTCGACGTCGTCGTCGTCCTCGGCGTCGGCGTCGTCGTCCGTCGGCGTCGTCGTCGTCGTTAGCGTCGTCATGGTCGTCGTCGACGTCGTCGTGGTCGTCGGCGTAGTCGTCGTTGCCGTCGTCGTCATCCTTGTCCGTCGTCGTCGTCATCGCCTTCCGTCGTCGGTCATCGTCGGTCGTCGGTCGTCGGTCGTCGGTCGTCGGTAGTCGGTCGTACGTCGTGGTCGTAGGTCGTCGGTCCTCGGTCGTCGTCGTCGCCGCCGTCGTCGTCGTCGTCGTCGTCTTCCGTCGGTGTCGCCGTCGTCGTCGTCGTCGTAGTCGTCGTCGTCGTCGCCGTCGTCGCCGTCGACGTCGTCGTCTTCCGTCGGCGTCGTCGTCGTCGTCGTTCGTCGTCGTCGTCGGCGTCGTCGGCGTCGTCGGCGGCGTCGTCTTCCGTCGGCGTCGTCGTCGTCGGCGGCGTCGTCGTCTTCCGCCAGCGTCGTCGACAACATCGTCGTCATCGTCGTCGGCATCGTCGTCGTCTTCCGTCGACGTCGTCGTTGTCGTCGTCGGCGTCGGCGTTGGCGTCGGCGTCGGCGTCGGCGTCGGCGTGGGCGTCGGCGTCGGTGTCGACGTCGTCGTCGGCGTCGTCGTCGGCGTGGGCGTAGGCGTCGGGGTCGGCGTCGGCGTCGGCGTCGGCGTGGGCGTGGGCGTGGGCATCGGCGTCGGCGTCGTCGTCGTCGGCATCGGCTCGTCGGCGTCGGCGTCGGCGTCATCGGCGTCGGCATCGACGACGACTGCGCCGGCATCGGCACCAGCGCTGGCGACGACGTCGTCGTTGCCGCCGTCGCCGTCGCCGTCGCCATCGCCGTCGCCGTCGGCGGCGTCGTCGTCATCGTCGTCGTCGTCCTCGTCATCGCCGTCGTCGCCGTCGCCAACCCCCATCCAATATTGGGGAAGGGGGGCTGTGGAACCCTGGAACCCATCCCACCGGGGGGGTGGCTGTGGACCCTCGACCCAGGATCATAGACGCCTGTTCATTTGGGTGTCGCGGGCAGGGCCTATCCCCAACTAAGAGGGTGTGCTGGTGGGGTTGAGATACCATGACCCAGTAGGGACGAGAATAGGTTGGACGATGCTGAAGAAAGGAAAAGCCAGGAGGCTGGCGCGATGCCTTACGGTCCAGGGCGTCTTCCCAGCCCGCGCCTCGGCCGCCCCCGGCTCGTCGACCGCTGAGCCCATGTCGCCGATCGCCCGCGCACAGCTTAGCACTGTTGGAAGAGACGCTGCCGATCAGGCGACGGCCCGCGCTTCTTGCGGTGCCCTTGCGCGTCCATCCGTCTGTCCGCTCGTCAAGGAGGAAAGAAAAACGACGCCACCACCGCCAGCGAGCCGCCTCTGGCGAGGAGGTCCACGATGCCTCCTCGAGCTGAACATTGGATATGTCCCAGGCGGGCCTCCACAAAACAGGAGGGCCACACCACCGGGAGGACCCTCCCTCGCTCATCGCGATGATGGTCGTGGTAGATCAAATTTTCTTCACTCGGTCGGCATGCGGCAGCCTCGATTGAGGAGGGGCACAGGTGGAAAGTTCAAGCGCAATCGCATGTGGCCCCAAAGGAGCCACATCTCTTCCCTCTCCTGTCATGTATCCTGTACCCTGTCTCGTGACTCTCCGAAACCATATCGTTTCTGCCGTCTACCGAAAGACCCACGGCGCCAACAAACAAATCGACCAGAGTCGGAATGTGAACCCCTGCTTGCTCCAGGACTCCGATGGTGCACCACCAGATGACCACGAGGGCTCGAAAGGTCCTCATAAACTCCGCAGAGGACCCGAAGAGCGTCTCAAGAGACCAAGACAACCCAAAATGGTCTCAGGAAGAATCTAAGAACACCAGTAGTATGAGCAATAACAGCAGCATCAGCATTGCTGCAAATGGTGACGGCACGAGGTTTTCTTACTGAATAGGGAGCGACTTCGGAACCAATACACAAACGAAACTAGTAATGCAAGAAATAGCAAATTGCAGTGGCCACCTGGGAGATCCACACCCTGAACCCACACATCGGCCAAAGGCTAAAGTATTAGCGTATACTGCGTCATTCGCCACGCATAGGCTCGAGATGTTCTCAAACTTTCGTTTGCGAGCCGCTCTGCGATCTGCTGGAAACTACCACCTCCTTTTTCCACAGGCACGTATGCTGGACATCACGCCGTCCTATCCGCACCCTCAGGCGCAGAGCAAGCACCTGGAGCCTCCCAGAAGATCAGCGAACAACCAAAAAACATCCTGAAGACTCCATCCCTGGATTGGGGCGGCGGCTCCTGTTCACGGTCTGCACCAAGGCTGTGCCCTTCGCCTGGGCCAGCTCCAAGTGCTTCGCGGAGGCACCGGAGACGTCGTCAGAGGAGAGGATGTCGATGGCCTTCTCGATGGCCTTGACAGAAGGGAACGCACAGGACCATGGCGCAGGAAGTGCGAGGAAGACGGGACACTCGCACCGATCTGCGCGTACGCGAACCCGTAGTACAGTTCTGAAGATCGCATACACATCTTCGTCCATCTCTACCTCTACGTCGACATCATAATTCCATCATTACTCCCAAATCATCATTCATCCTCCTCCTGCCTCAGCTCCTCCTCATCATCGTCTTATTCTCCCAACCGTCATAATAACACTCACCATCACCATCACCATGATCTACTTCAACCTGCCCCCCTTCCTCCTCGTCCTCCTAATCACCGTCCTCCTCCTCCTCAACATCGTCATCCTGATCCACCTCCTCACCATCATTGCAATCCTGATCCTAACAACCGTCCTCGTCATATTCCCCCTCGACATGTTTCTTCCCCTGGTCTTCGTCCTCATCATCATCCTCATTATCACAACCACGCTCCTCCTCGAGCGAGCAACGCAAGCATGTGGAGCAGCAATACGACCCAGAAGCAGACGGTGAACACGAAGCCCAGACGGCGCCCCAGCTGGGCCGCCGCGGCGTCCCGAAAGCCTGGCCACCTGGCCGGCCGGCGCGGTCCGCGCCCAGCACAGGCTGGAGCTGGCGAGCGGTGGCCTGGTGCAGAGTCACGTTCAGCGACGCACACCTGTTGCTCCACCCGGCAGCCGCACTCCACGTGAACGCGGCCCCAAGCGCGCTCGAGGTCGCCGCTGCGCGCCTTGGCGCCGCCTCCGCGGGCTCAGCACCAGGCGTGGCGTGCCCAGCCGCCGCGCGGAAGCACTGTCCGGCGCTTTCCCTGGCCCACGCGGTGCTGCAGCAGGTAGCGCCTAGGGATGCTGCAGCCTGGCCGAGCAGCATCCGAGTCGCTGCGCGTTCACGTCTGGCGAGGCGCCAGCGCGCGCTCCACATATCCTGCTCTGCTTTCTTTCCTCGTGCCCCCCCTTCGGCGGGAGTCTCAAGAAGGAGAGGAATGGGGGGGAAACAGGCCGAAAGGATGGGGGAGGACCAGGCGGCGAGGAGTGGAAGCGAGAGGGCAGGGGGAGGGGGCAGAGAGGGAGGGGAGAAGTCAGAAGGCAGGGCCAATGTCGATTCGATCGGTCAAATTTCGACCAGCTCGATCCGTTCGATTCCGATAATATGGTCATTCGACGCGGCCCTATGTTTGCATGGCGTTGTTACGTTTCCCGGCGCGCGGCCGATTCTTTTCGATTATGATTCCGTGCCGATGCAGCCCGATTCGATCCGATGTCCCGATTCGATGTTGATAGATCCTACATTGGAGATTGGTTGTTTGTTACTGCATTTCCTCCTCCTCTTCTCCTCCTCTTCTCCTCCTCCTCCGCCTCATCCTCCGCCTCCTCCTCCTCCTCCTCCTCCTCCCCCTCCTCCACCACCACATAAACATCGTCTTTCTCCTCCTGCGCTCCCTCATCCTCTTCATCGCCAAGACCCTCCTGCACGCCCTTCTCCTCCTCGCGCAAGGTGCGATGAGGAAAAAGGTAGAGGACGCTAAAGGACGACCTGGAGCAGCGAGAGAGGGAGGAAGAGGAGGAGGGGAGGAGGGGGACCAGAGTGAACCCAAGATTTAAAGGCGATGCTGCAAGACAACCAGTCTCAGGTCCCCTCCCCAGCCACCTCGCACAGGCATGATGGCACACTACGCGAAGCGGGAAACGACCAGCGCCCCATCGGCCCGCGAATTCAGGCGGGAGCCCCGTTTTGAACGGAGCTGCCCTCCGCCCTTCGAGCCGTGAGGGAGTGCGAGGAGGCGTGGCCATGCAAAAGGTTCGAAGAGGTGCCCAGCGACAGCCCCGCTATGGAAAAGGGGCCGCCCTCCATGCGTGCAGCTGCGGCATGAATTTCAAACCTCGGGTAACACCTCCCAGCGAGAGCCCCGATCCGAAAAGGAGCAGCCCCCCATCCGTGCATCTACTGCACAACATGAGGAAGTCTCCACCGAAAACCCATGTTGAAAAGGAACCGACCTCCACCTGTGCAACTGCTGGAAATGTTTAATACGCGTGTGCTCTGAGTCGAGGCGACAGTCCCATTTTGAAAAGAGTCGCCATCCATCCGTGTGTATGTTGGAGGAGTGTTCCCCAGGCTTCTAAAGCTCTCTGTACTCTGTATTCGAATTAGAGGCAGGGAACCCAAAATACCAAATCTTATTGGCGCCTCCGCGCGCTATCGGGCTTCACCGCGTGACTTTTCCAGAGGCCCGATGGCCCCTGCGACGGGACAAGAAGGCCCAAGAAGCACCCAAGACGGCCCAAGATGGACCCGAATCGTCTAGATATCGCCCCAAGACGCCCAAGACGGCCCGCAGACAGGCTTCCAATACGCCCCCTCCGAGAGGTCCCCCAAGAGGGCCCCGAGATACCCTAATCATCGATGTTCCTTAGGCTTGTAAACGCTTTCAATGTTCTCGCGTTTTCGGGCTTTCGACGCTCCAACACGGCCCACGAGGCCCCCAAGATCGCCCCAGGAAGGCCGAAGAGGCCTCCAAGAGCGCCCACACAGGGCCCAAGATGGCCCCAAGACCGCCCAAAAGGCCCCCCAAGACGGCGCAACAGGAGGCCCCAGAGGGGGAACACGAACCGACATTTCGAGCCATTCGCCGCAAGATGGCCCCCCGAGACCGCCAGCAGGACCTCAAGAGGCCCCCCACAGGCTCCAGGAGGACCCGAAGAAACCCCCGAGAAGCCCTCAAGACACCCCAAAACCAAATCCAAGAGGCTCCCGAGAGGACACCCCAGAGATCCCGACAGGCATCTCAAAGGCCTCTGATATACAACCCAAGCAGGCCGAAGGCCACTGTATCCGCCAACCCCTGTGGCTTGCCACAGGGGTACACGGCGTGCCGAATGTCTGGCAGGTTCTGGGTTCTCTAAAGAACTCCCAGCGGGGTCTCGGCCCAACCCGCCAGCCACCCGGGAAGCCCGGGAACATTCGGCCTCCAGTGGCCCAATCGCGTCCAAGACGGCCAGGGTGGCTCCAGATGGCCTCCAAGTTGCTTCCAAGACGGGCAGGATGGCCCCAAGAGAGCCCAACATAGCCCAAAGACGGCCTCCAAGATGGTCCCACGATGCCTCCAAGACTGCCAAGATGACTCAAGAGAGCCCAAGACGGCCCAAGACGGCCAAAATCATGAATGATCCTTGGTAATTAGAGGATACCGTCGTTCGCTCCAAAACGGCCTTCCGACGGCCCAAGACGGCCCTAGAGGCCCCCAAGGTTGCCCCACGATCGCCCAAGAGGGCTCCAGGACGGCCCAAGAGGTTCCCAAGACGACCCCAAGAGGGTCCAAGGACGGCCCAAGGAGCCTCCAAGACGCCCAAGATGGCCTTCAAGACGGCCCAGAGAGGCTCCAAAGACGGCTTCCGACGGCGTCAGACGGATTGGGAACGCCGTAAGACTGCCAAAGAGGCCTCCACGAAGCCCCCGAAGACCCCGAAGAGGCCAACAAGAGGCACCCAGGAAGCTCCCAGGAGGCCTCAAGAACGACCCAAGAAGCTCCCAAGAGGTCGCATCATCCTTCTCCTCGTCCTCCTGTGTCCTTCCTCTCCTCATCCTCCTCTTCCTCCCCCACGTGTTCCCGAAGGGCTTCCACAACGGCTGGGGAAACTCATGGACCAACAGCGTGGCCAAATGTTGTCCAACCTGGCCACATAGAGGCGGGGGGCAGCGGTGATTCGCAGTAAGCATATTCGATACTAGTGTTGCGAAACGGGTGTGCACGGCGCCGTGGCGGGAATCCCATTTTGATAATCAACGACCCCCCATCCGCTTAGCTGAAGGATGCATGTGAAACAAATATGCGCGGCGTTCAAGCGATAACCTCATGTTGAAAATGGTCAGCTTTCCATCCGTGCAGCTGAGGGTAATATCAAATTTCGTGATCCTAACGGTGAGGGTGTATCTGGCGAAACGCCCGCCCCGCCATAACGACACACCTGGTGATACGACAGGATACGACAGGGGGGAGGTATATATACGGACGAGCGATGGGGGAAGGGTGGCCAAGGGCGAAGGGGAGGAAGGGGAGGACAGGCAAGGGGAGGGAGAAGGAAGGGGCGGAAGGAGAGGAAAGGCGAGGGGAGGAAGGGGAGCAAAGGCGAAGGAGGAAGGGGAAGGAAGGGGAGGGAGAAGGAGGAAAGGCGAGGGGAGGTAGAAGGAAGGGAAGGGATGGATGGTGTGCTCCCTTTGAGCTGGCGGCGGAAGCTTCGGACGAGACTTCCTTTTAGCAAGGGGCCACGACCCGGGGAGGGTTCGGAAGCGACCTTGCTGCGACGGCTCTGGAAGACAGATCGCCAGCTCTGAAGGGGTCGAGGGGAGGGTTGGTAAGAGCTGTGCACTTTCCAAGACCTGCGCGGAGTCAAGAGGGCGGCGCACAGAACCGACCCTGGAAAACCGTGCAAGCCTTTGAAAATTCCCACAGTTCCAACAAGGACCTCCGCCCGAAACCCCGGCCAGGGCGAAGCAGAAGAGGCAACTCAGAGACTCCCCGCCATATGTGGGGGGGGGGCCAGGCAGGGAGCACCTGCCTGGGGCTCGTCCGATCCCCCCACGCTGCCTGGTCGACGTACCCCGCAGGTACGGGACGGTGACAGGAGGAGGGAGAGGAAGCCACCCCAGGGAGGGGAGGATCCAGCCCGACCCGACCCGCCTGCCAGGAGACTGGGGGGCGAAAGATGCCGAAGCCGAAGCTTCCAACACCAGACCAGAATTTCCAGGCGAATCCTGCCGTGACCACGACGAGACCCCAAAAACGAGCAGCGGACCAGGAAACAACCCCCTCAGTGCCCCGGGCAGAGGGGAGGGAGGGCGGGAGCACACGAGGGCAAGGAGGGAGGCGGGAAAGGGGATGGGCAGAGACCCCCAGGACCGAAGGCACAAGTTTTCAGAGCTGCCACCGGACAGGCAAGGGGAGGGAGAAGGAAGGGGCGGAAGGAGAGGAAAGGCGAGGGGAGGAAGGGGAGCAAAGGCGAAGGAGGAAGGGGAAGGAAGGGGAGGGAGAAGGAGGAAAGGCGAGGGGAGGTAGAAGGAAGGGAAGGGGAGGAAAGTCGAGGGGAGGAAGGGCAGGAAAGGCGAGGGGAGGAAAGGTTAAGAAGGAAGGGGAGGAAAGGAGAGGGGAGCAGGGAAAGAGGAGGGGAGAAGGAGGGGGGAGGAGAGGGGAAAGAGGGGGAAGAGACGAGGAGGCGGCGGGGAGCAGGAGGAGCAGCAGCAGGAGCAGCAGCGGGGGGATGGGGAGGGACGATGATGACGGAAGGTGAAGAGTAGAAAGGAGGAGAAAGGGGAGGAGAGGAGGAGGAGGAGGAGGAGGAGGAGGAGGAGGAGGATCCTTTGTTCTTCGCCCGTTGGTTTCCCTGTTTGCAGGCCACACTGCCCAAGTCGGTTCTCCTGTCTCCCATCCTGACGCTATACAGGTGTCGTTGCTGCGCCCCGCTAAGCGCAAAAAGGAGGAGGAGGAGGAGGAGGAGGAGGAGGAGGGAGGAGGAGGGGGGAGGGGGGGAGGGGAGGGGAGGGAGGGAGGGGAGGGGAGGGGAGGGGAGGGAGGGGAGGGAGGGGAGGGGAGGGAGGGGAGGGAGGGGAGGGAGGGAGGAGGAGGAGAGGAGGAGGAGAAGGCGGGGAGGAGGAGGAGGAGGGAGGAGAGGAGGAGTGGGGAAGGGGGGGGAGGGGGGGAGGGGACGGGGGAGGGGGAGGGGGAGGGGCGGGGGGAGGGAGGGCAGGAAGAGACGGAGGAGCCGCGGATCAGCCTCGAGCTCCTCCTTCCGTAACTTCTGCTTTTCCTGCGCACGCCCCGCGCGCGCCGCGCCATCAAGGAGGGGGGGCCCCGCCACGGCTTCTCCGCTGGCGGGAGCTGCCGAGGCCATCGGCGCACGTCCCTCCCCCTCGCGCCGTGAGAGAAACTTGCTCGTCGCAGCGGCGAATCCTGGCTGCGTTCTGGGGCAGACGTGGGGTGCACGTGGCCAGATTGGGCGCGGAGGGCGGCAGAGGGCAGGCACGGACGGGAGGCAATTTGTGCGTTTCGGCCTCTGGGGGCCTCGCCAGTCCCCGAGACCGTCGATGAACGCTCCAGGGAAAAAGAGCATCGGGGCAAAGGGGTCTCGGGTTTGGGGAGTCCACGTTGTGAACAAAGCACGACGTCGGAGTTCTAGAGAAAGTGAAGGGTGGGGATAAGTCTGGACGGAAGGAAATCGGGAATCTCTGGGAGCCGCCGGATCCTGAGGGTGTTGTGTCGGGCGCCACGGCTGCAGGTGTCACGGCCCTCCAGAGAACTCTGACAGCTTTCCAGATCGCCCTGGAACGATTCATCCTCACACTGGGCCTGTTTGGTTGAGTAAAGGGGTCCTGAATGTGTTTCCCATTTTCGGTTAGAGCCACTCCCCTCCAGATGAGGTCCGAGTAGATGGGGTCGGAGAATCCCGCCGCCTCGCCGATGCATCGGCGATGCGGCGCGATCCTCAGGCCCCACCTACTCGGCCCCCATCTGAGAGGCCTAGATCGGGGCTCTGCACGACCCCCCCAGGGGCCGTCAGCAAACGACTCGGGATGAAATACTGACTCTGGGAAGAGAGAGAGCTCCAGAGTCCAGGACCCCCTCCCACCACCTTCTCCTCATCTCTCCTCCCCCTCCCAAAACTCCTCCTCCTCCTCCTCCTCCTCCTCCTCCTCCTCCTCCGCCTCCTCCTCCTCCTCCTCCTCCTCCTCCTCCTCCTCCTCCTCCTTCCAGACATCGGAGCCAGGGGGCCCTAAAACTGCCCCGCGGGAGCGAGGCTCGGCCCTCAGGAGAGCGGGCACGCGCGCCGGGCGCTCCTGCCCCGCTGCCAAGAGCCCAGCCTTGGGACGACACCACGCGAACCCCCTTGAATCGGGGTTATCGCCACAGCGCGCCCCAGTCGGATGCGCCATGCCGAGACCGAGACCGAGGCGGGGGAGGGGGCAAGGGGCGGGAGGACGAGGACGAGGAGGAAGTGGGGACGAGGAGGACGCGGGGGCGAGAGGCAGGAGGAAGGGGCTGCCGCGCCCAAGCAAGCCCCGCCCTGGTCCTGGAAGGACAAGCTCTTCTCGAAGCACTCGGTGACCATGTCACTCAGGGTCTTCTCGTTGGCCTCTGCTACAAGAGCCAAACAAGGCATAGACATACACGTCCGGAGGTCCGCGCGGATGTCTCGGATCGGCGCTGGGTCCCCTCTTTGGCGCGCGAGGCGGGGCTGGAGACGGCGACAGGCCAGGGGGACCCTGAGAAATCTGCGCGGCGTGGATCTCCGAACGTTCATGTTTGTGTCGGCTTCTCGTCCTCGATCATGGGCGTTTCTCTGCGCCCCCCCAGAGATCCGATGCCTGACTTAATCCATACAGGGCCTCAGGAGCTCTGGACCCCTTCCCCAAGGCCAGCTGTTCATCCTCGGTCGTTTTGTTGACGGCCCCGGGGCCCAGCGAGGGCCCCCAGGGGCCAAAAACGGCGAATGATCTCTCTTGGTTTTGCTAAGATGTTGGAAATATGGGCCCTCCTCCTCGTCTTTCTTCTTATTAATATTACATCTAGTAGTACTATAGCATTATGATTCATATGATCACTATTGTTATTATTACTTATACTACTACGAATAATAATAATAATAATAATAATAATAATAATAATGATAATAATAATATTAATACCACAAAGAAGAAGAATTGTAGAAATCATACTACTGCTACTACTACTACTACTACTACTACTACGACTACTACTACTACTACTACTACTACTACTACTACTACTACTACTACTACTACTACTACTACTACTACTACTACTACTACTACTACTACTACTACTACTACTACTACTACTACTACTACTACTACTACTACTACTACTACTACTACTACTACTACTACTACTACTACTACTACTACTACTACTACTACTACTACTACTACTACTACTACTACTACTACTACTACTACTTATACTACTTAGTAATACAACGATTATTATCCTTATGATTATTCGAAGTTTTGGGGTGGTCAGGCGCGGCCGCGGCCGCGCGGGCGCGGCCGCGCCGGGGCCTTCCCGGCCAAGGCAGCCGCGGCAACAGCGGCATGCCAAACCTGGCCCTCTTCCTCCTCGTCCCTTCGTCTTCCCTGGAGCCGCGCCGCGGACGCCTCCGCGTGATCATCTGCGCGCCCGCGGCCTTGCCGCCGTGCAATGCTGACATCCCTCCGCGAAAATGTAAGCAAGTATTGCCCGCGCAGTGCCGGCGACCCGAAGCCCCCACCCCCGAATTTCAAGGTTGACTCCGAGACGAACGACTTCCTATATTCAGTCGGCGTCCGCAGCCCGCGCCGCGCGCCACTGAACATTGAAAGTTGGGGGATAATTGGGGGGGCGGCAGAACTTGCTGCAAGTCCCGCGGAGGGATGCCGGCCCGCCGCCTTATGCAGCGCGCGCACCGCACCGAGCAACAGGGGCCTCCTCGCTCGTCCCTTTTTGGTTTTTCGGTACGCTGGAGGTCTGCGTCTGCGCCTCCCCTTGGCGGGGGACGCCACACGGCGCCGATCGGCGCCGATCTGCGCCAATGGCCCCAACGCGGCAGACGCCACACGATGCGACGCCGGAAGGAGCACCAGCCAGGCCAGAGGCACCCCGCCGCCAAAGCCTGCCGTGGGCGAGCCGGGCAGCGAGCCCCTGAGGAGGTGGATCGCCAGAAGCCTCGAGAAAGATTGTACTTTCGGAGCTCCGCGCGGAGCTCCGATAATTTGTATGTTCGTGCTGCTTTTCTGCTTCGGTTATCCGTTCCAAGAACATCTCTGGAAGAGAAGGTTACGATGACCATGACCAAGACCAAGACTGGAAGAAAACGCCGGTGTCGATCTTGATAATAGATCTTAGTCATCGTGAATTCGTGGATCATCTTCGCATCGGCGACGGCCGGCATGGACAATGACTGCGATCGGCGTCGACAAGATCCCGCAAGATCTAGGTCATCGTAATCGTGTCTCTCTCCTCCATCGAGTCCAGGCACGGTCCCTGACGACTGACATGTCCGCCGAGGCGGTACGGCCTCGACTGCCGAGACCCTGGGGGCCCGTCGGCGGCGACCCCTCCTTGGGGCAGTATGCCCTTGCTTCCGCCGGCCTCCACCTTGGCTTCTGCCAGCTTCCAGGAGGAGGAGGAGGAGGAGGGAGGAGGAGGGGGAGGAGGAGGGGGAGGAGGAGGAGGAGGAGGAGGAGAGGAGGAGGAGGAGGAGGGGGGGGGAGGAGGGGAGGGGGAGAAGAAGGAGGAAAAGGAGGAGGGGGAGGAAAAGGTGAAGGAGGAGGAGAGGAGGAGGAGGAGGAGGAGGAGGAGGAGGAGAAGAGGAGGAGGAGGAGGAGAAGGGAGGAGGATGAGGAGGAGGACAAGGAGGAGGAGCGTGAGGGGGGGGAGAAAAAGGCGAGGAGGCGGAGGCGGACGAGGAGGAGGACGAGGGGGAGGAGGACAGACGAAGCCACAGGCCTGTCCCAAACCTTCGCCGAGAGTGAGAGATCGGTCACTCTAGCACCCTCAACGACGATGCTCCGTCCAGAACTGTCCAACCCGTTGGCCTCAAGGATTGCCCCATAGCTCTCGACACATCGCGACACCATGCACAGGACTAATTTTGTCGCTGGTGGGGGGGGCAGAGTGCTTCGGAGAGCCAAGAAACAGTTCCCAGCCCCAAGAACCTAAGAAAAAACACCCACCGCGATGTTGTCCCCGGCATCCCCTTCCCCAAAATCCAACAGTCTCCAACTAATCTCGACCAATCGCGCCCGTAGTGACCTTGTCGCAAGGCCAGAGGCTCGGTGTGTGCGTGTAGATGCCCGTCGGCTCGTCGAGTGCGCCGAAGAGGGTGGCCAGGGATGTGCGCGGACGAGGGCGGGGGCAGGGAGAGCAGGGAAAGACAAAGAGAGGCCCAGATCTACATCCCACTCGTCCTCACCCCCCTCGTCGACGCCCCTGAGCTTGGCTACCCCAGCCTCCAGCACGGCCTGGGTGGCGGCGATCTGCTTCTTGTTCGCTGCCGCCTCCAGGGCTCGAAGAAGGGGGCGAAGGGAGGAGGACCCCCCCTCCTACTCCGCCTGCTTCTCTTCCCACCCCTCCTCCTTCAGCTCTTCCCCATGCGCCTCCTCCTCCTCCTCCCATTCCTCCTCACTCCCCTTTCTCCGCCTCACCTTCCTCCTCCGACTCGTCCCCTCCCAACCCGAGTGAGTGCGGTGGTCCGCCCTGTCCGCTCTGTCCGCTCCGACAGAGCGGACAGAGCGTAGAGAGCCGACAGAGCGGACAGAGCGGATTTTGGCTCGCAGTGCCCACCCACCCACCCCTCCAGCCCCTCTGCCCACTCGGCCGCCGATGTATGGACACGGGCTTCACACGGGCTTCCACCAAGCTTGGAAGTGCGCAGACCACCCTGCAGCAGCAAGCAGGCATGCCACGGTCGACGCCTCAGCCGTCGATGCAGCTTCAGCAGCTGAGGACAACGAGGTCGGCTCCGTTCCTTTCGCCTCTTGGCGTCTGCCCAAACCGCGGACACCTACCCTCGTTGGCGCAAAGAGGGCGAAGACGGCCCGCCAGGGGTCGGGCATCAGAGGGATTCAGTCTCCTCCAGGTGACCCTCCAGACGAGGGCGCTTCCGAGGCAACCTTTTCATATGCGGATTTTGCTCTCGGCACACGGCCAGACAGCTCCCAACGCCAGGCGTCAAATATCGCGGTGGCACTGGGACAGCGCTGGGGGCTTTCCAGTCCCTGTCTGGACCGCATACCCCCAGGCCCCACAGGGAACAGATCTCTCGACCGGCACACTGGCCAACGTCCCTGTTTTGTGCGCCTTCCCGTGTTTGCTCGGACTGCTCTGCAGGATCCCGCAGGATCTGGCGCTCTGGCTGAGCCCTGTCTGCGCTGAACCCAGTAACCTGCCAGCTGACGCTCGCCCAGCTCGAGCCCCGGCCCCCGAACATGGCCGCCCGCCAGGGCAGAACAGGAGCGCCGCAGCTCTGGGAGAGAGAGCGCACCGCCTCGCGGAGGAGATCACCGACCATCCCACCCGAGCTGCAGAGCACAGTCATCGTGCACGAAGGGGTTCTTCTAGCCACGGCGAACCTCGGCCACGAAGAGGCTCCCCGACCTAGGTCCAAGCAGCGGCCCGAAAACCAAAACCCCTCATGAGCCCAGCGGTTCCCATCTCAGCGTCTTGACTGTACGAATATTCGCTCGGAGCGCCTGGGCTGTATTTGTCAACTCTACATCGCCACATATAGAAGCAAAGATCGCGCGCCGTGAGCACCACCCGTCTGCACGCAGCCGCCGCCGACGGTGCGGGACATCGAGCTGCCTCTGCGAGAGAGCTGTCGCCGAGGCGCAGTTGGCACGCAGCCCTCCGGTGGGGAAGTGCGCAGGACTGCGGTATGGCTGGCCGGTTGACTGGTAGATGTTCGTCTTCTTCTCGTTGCGGGCAAAACGACTTCTGCTGTCCCTCGCCTTGCGCTGAAGAGCCCCCACGATACGTTCCAGATGTATCGGGTCACCCCTGGATTTACGTCGATACATCTGGATCGACGTCGACCTAAGTTAACATTCCTCATTGTATCCATCTGAACCCCACAAATTGATTGAAGGCTAGCCGATAATCCAACAGAGATGCTTTCTATGTTTTCTCCGTCGTGGCGTTCGTCCAGGGGGCCGGTTTCACCTTCAACTTTGGAGGGACGGGGAACATCATGAAAGCCTTCACCTCTTTAGCTTGTCCCCGGCTTTGACGCGTGTCCAGCGCCGCCCACCGCTGCTGCCTGCCCGAATTCATTTTGTTTATGGTCGCGCCGACCGTGCTCAAAAACTCATCCTCCGTTTCCGCTTCCTCCTCCGCCTGCTCATCCTCCTCCTCATCCTCCTCATCCTCATCCTCATCCTCATCATCGTTATCATCCTTCTCCTCCTCCTCCTCCTCCTCCTCCTCCTCCTCCTCCTCATCATCATCATCATCATCATCATCATCATCATCATCATCATCATCGGCAGCAGCAGCGCATCATCATCATCATCATCATCATCATCATCATCATCATCACCATTATCATCATCATCGTCGTCGTCGTCGTCGTCATCATCATCATCATCATCATCATCATCATCATCATCATCAGCATCGTCCTTCTGTCTGATTCTCCTCCCTCCACCATCACCGCCATACAGCTTCCTTCGCCTCCTTCTCCTCCTCCTCATCCATTATCCTCTTCCTGCTCCTCCTCCTCCGCCTCCTCCTCCTCATCTAGCTGATCCTCCTCATCACCATCCTCATCCTCCTCCTCATCCTCATCCTCCTTCTCCTCGTCCTCGTCCTCGTCCTCCTCATCCTCCTCATCATCATCATCAGCAGCAGCAGGAGCGGCAGCATCATCATCACCCTTATCATCATCATCATCATCATCATCATCATCATCATCATCATCAGCATCATCATCACCATCATCATTATTTTATTATTCTTCCTCATCATCATGATCATCACCATCGTCATCAGCATCGTCATCATCAGAATCATCATCAGCAGCAGCATCATCTGTATCAGCATCACCATCACCATCAAGATCCTCAGCAGCATCATCACCACCATCATCATCAGCATCATCATCATCCTCATCATCATCCTCCTCGACATCATCATCATCATCATCATCATCATCATCATCATCATCATCATCATCATCATTGTCATCATCATCATCATCAGCAGCATCATCATCAGCAGCATCATCATGATCATCGTCGTCATCGTTATTAGCATCATCATCATCACCACCATCACCATCATCCCCATCCTCATCATCACCATCATCAGCACCATCATAATAATCATCCGCATCATCATCCTCCTCATCATCATCGTCATCAGAATCCTCGTCATCATCATCCCAATCATCAGCATCAGCATCAGCATCAGCATCAGCATCAGCATCAGCATCATCACCATCATCATCATTATCATCAGCAGCAGCAGAATCAGTTTCATCATCCTCATCAGCATCGTCATCTTCATCATCAACAGCATCATCAGCATCATCCGCATCTCCTCCTCCCCCGCCTCCTTCCAATTCCTTCCCCCATCCCATCTCGGCTCCCGACCTCTTAACCCTCACACCCCATGACCTCATCCATCGCCATGCCATCCTCGTCCTGGTCACCCTCATCACCCTCCCCCTCATCATCACCATACTCGTACGCCTCGTCCGTGTCATCCACTGCATCAGCGTAATCAGTATTAGCAACCTCCTCACCACTACCACGCGTTTCATTACCCGCTACCCATGCCCACTTACATTGGCATGCACGTATTCCTCTTCGCGCACAAACCCCATCGTCGTCCTTCTCCTCATCCTCCTCCTTCTTTTCTTCATCATCATCGTCAGCATCACCACCAACATTACGATCCTCCTCATCCTCCTCCTCACCGTCATCATCATCATCATCACCATCATCAAGATCATCAGCCACATCAGTGTCATCAGCAGCATCATCATCATAACCATCATCATCATGATCGTCATCATCAGCATTATCATCATCATCAGCAGCATCATCATCATCATTAGTATCATCATCGTCATCATCGTCAGAATCAGCATCATCATCGTCAACATCATCATCATCATCATCACCATCATCATCATCATCATAATCGTCATCATCATCGTCATCGTCATCGTCATCATCATCAGCATCATCAGCATCAGCATCATCAGCATCATCATCATGATCCTCATCATCAGCATCATCATCCGAATCAGCATCAGCATCATCATCAGCATCATCATCGGCATCATCAGCATCATCATGCTCATCATCATCATCTTCTTCGTCAGCATCGTCATCATGAGCAGCATCAGCATCAACACCAGCATCAGTGTCAGCACCCACACCACCACCACCACCACCACCATCATCATCATCATCATCATCGTCATCATCATCATCATCATCATCATCATCATCATCATCATCAGCATCATCATCATCATCATCATCATCATTATAATGACCACCATCGTCATCATCACCATCCTAATCGGCATCGTCATCATCATCAATGTCATGATCACGATGATCGGCAGCATCATCATCGTCGTTCTCATCACCATCATCAGCATCATCATCACCATCATCAGCAGCATCGTGATCCTCATCAGCATCATCATCAGCATCATCATCAGCAGCATCACCATCACCATCATCATCAGAATCGTCATCGTCATCTTCATCGGTGTCGACCTCATCACCATCACCCTCACCATATCCTCAGCGTCATCATCAGCAGCATCATCATCAGCATCATCATCAGCATCATTATCATCAGCATCATCATCGTCGTCAACATCATCATCAGCATCGTCGTCGCCGTCATCGTCACCGTCATCCACATCATCGTCATCATGATCGTCAGCATATCATGAGCAGCAGCATCATCATCAGCAGCATCAGCATCTTCATAATTGTCGTCGTGATTATCGTCACCATCGTCATCATCCTCATCATCATCAGCATTATCATCATCACCATCACCGTCTCCATCACCATCACTAGTATCATCATCAGCATCATCATCATCATCATCTGCAGCATCATCATTAAAATCATCCCTCCCCCCGAATCCTCCTGGTGGCACCACTACCATCACCATCCTCATTATCATTATCATCATCATACTCATCATCGTCATTCTCATCATCATCATCATCATCATCATCATCATCACGACCATCATTGAATCATCATAGCTGTCCCCTCGTCCTCCCTGTGCCTCTTCCTCATCCACCTCTTCCCCTCGTCCGCCTCCTCCTCCTCATCCTCCTCCTCCCTCTCCCCCTCATCATAGATCTCCTCCTCCTGCCCCTTTTCCGCCACCTCGTCCCCAACCTGCTCTCCTTATAAGCCTCACCAGCATTGTCGTCACAAGCACCACCATTACTACCAACACCGTCACAAATATCATCAGGGCCATCATCAGCATCACCACCACCACCACCATCATCATCTTCATCATCATCATGGTTACTCGTCCGGGTCGTCCACCTGCTACCTTTGCCTCCTCCTCGTGCTCATCGGCCTCTTCCTCATCCTCTTCCTCCTCCTCCCCATCATCTTCCTCCTCTTCTTCGTACTACTACTGTTAGGTTTACTCTTCTTCGTCTTATTATTCGTGTTCTTATTATGCTGAGTATGCGCACTCATATTTTTATGATGATCAGGATCAGCATTCCTGCCATTACTATTACTAGCACTAACAATCGTCAAACTACGCTTATCTTTGGTATCACAGCTATCGTACTAAGATTGGTGTTATTGTTTACACTCTCAGTGATAGCGTCGTGATTAGTAATACTACCTTAGCGGTAATACGTTCACTAGACTATCAATGCTATCCTGATGTTAAGTTTCATGTTAATACTAATACGAGCACTATCAGTATCATTCGCATTGTGAGTTATCATAGTATTAATAATGTTACTCCTGTCGCTCCTCCTAACAATGCGATCCATACAAGTAATATTGCTAGCAGTTGCATCCGTAGTATTGTGATCCCTCATGTTCGGCTTATCAGTCTTGTGCTGATGACCACCACTTTCAGTATCAAGTGTTTCTCCTTCTCAGGATTCGTAGACTGTGTTTTGTTCGTCTTCACGTTCCTCCTCCTCCTCTTCCCCCTCCTGCTCCGCCTCCTCCTCCTCCTCTTCCTCCTCATCTTCCTGATCCTCGTCCCCCTGGTCGTTTTCCGCGTCCTCCTCATCGGCATTATCATCGCCCTTGTCCTCCTCATCGTTTTCCTCCTCCTCCCCATCATCATCATCATCATCATCATCATCATCATCATCATCATCAGCATCATCATCAGCATCATCATCATCATCATCATCATCATCATCATCATCATCATCATCATCATCCACCTCCGACTCCGAGTCCGACTCTGATGCCGACCTTTCCTCCTCCTCGCCCCTCTCCTCATCACCCCCCCTGCACGAAATACTTCCGCTATGGGTGGCGGACGCGGCGTTTTTAGCACGGACCCTGCACGGCAGCACTCCAGGCCCAGGGGATCGCGCCGCGAGGACATCGAATACGTTACGGGGGCCTCCAGAGGCCTCCAAATGTCCTCGAGGTCTCTGGATGTCCTCAGGAGCCTCCACCGAACTGACCAAACCACTGAACAAAAATCGATCCTCGAACCTCGGGGGGCCAGCGAAGCCGCAGCCTCCCGCTGGATGCATCGACCCGCCCAGTCTGCGCGTAGGGGCGGCCGCAGGATCAGGGTCAGCATGTTCCGCACGCACACGTGGCGCGGGAGAACATGTCGCAGGGATGCAACAGTAACAGTCGTCCGCCATACCCGTGCGGCCGGCGCCCTCGTCCCTGGCGCGAGTAGACGGTGCGCGGCGACCGCATGGCGAGCGGCACCCGAGCTGGCCCAAAGCGATCACCCCATCGAGCGGGTCTGAGCGGGACTCCACGGAGCGGAGGCGCCGAGGCGGGACGGCGCGCTGACACGACGAGGTAGGGGTGAGCTTATCAAGGGGAGGACAAGGAGGAGGAAGAGGAGGGGGAGGAGGAGCGCACGTCCCATGGAGGTGCCGTCAACTTACTGTCGAACGAATGCCGCACGCCGTATTGGCATGTGATGAGCATAGTTGCCGAGCTTCGACGGAATTACCGCAAGCTCGACACGGACCTTATGGAATACATATATACACATATAGTACGCTAAGCTGACAAGCTCGTGGGCACTCTCGATCGTGAGATCGACGCCTGCATATTCATCCTTTGTCCCGAGGCCGAACCACAGGAAGGGAGGGACGGCAGGAATGTGTAAGCGAGGCAAGGCAATTATGTGAAGCAAGCGGGAGCAGAGGTCGTGGAGGAACGAGTCGTGGTGGCCGGGGCAGCGAAACCTGCAGGGCAGAGGCATGAGGATCCTCACCCCGTGGCTGGTGATCCACCCTCTCGCATGGGTCTTAAGGTGAGACCATACTTTGCACGGCTGAGAGCGCGCCAGGACTTGACGCAGTGCGTACCACTTCGCCTGCACAGCGGCGAGATACAACGTTTCGGGAGAGAATCACGTCTTAAGCCTCCGGTGGATCATCTCACGTAGTCTGTCTGGGAATCCCGAGCGCATTAGCTGGGCGATGAAAGCGCCTTAAGGTCCCTGCCCCCCCGCTCCCATGACGCCAATGTCCGCCTCCCCGCCCATGCCTTCTTCTGGCGCCGCCGACAGGCCGCCGACCGGCCGAGTCAGCAGCAGCAGCAGCATCGATGGTTGCCTGAATTCGAGCCGCTGGAAGCGGGACGCCGCGGCATCCTCGGGTGAATTGCCGATGGTATTGCAGCACGCCGCGCTCCTGTAGCCAGCATGGTGCACAGAGGAAGCTTCTGCGCACACGCATGTGCAGGCCGTGAACGTCCGCCCCGTCCCACCAGCATTCAAAATCCCGCTACCATTGTTTCAACGTGTGCGTCGACGCGCGCCAGGCACAACCGACAGAGTACACTTAAACACTCGTAGGTGATGCTGATGCCGATCGCAACCAGTTGCGCGCCCCGAAAAAGTCGTGCAGTGCGAACGTGCTGGGAGGGAGGCGACGGAGTTAGTGGAGGGCAAAAAACTCCTTGCGTGCGATTTCTTTTCACAGCGGGAAAGCCTGAGCAATGTACCCAAGAACTGACAAGCATGCGGTCTCGTACAATCGTACGGCTGCTTCACTGGGAGCGCGGGCACGGGCAATGGCACGAGTCCTGGACCACAATTTTTCTCCAGCTTCGCGCCAGATTTCGCGCAGGCTGGCCCCTGGGCCGATTAGCACCCCAAGATACTTGGCCCACGAGCGCACGCGAAATGAAGGCCATGCGGGGACAAGCTGAGCGATGAGCTGGGAAATTCGGGCACACTCCACCATCGCGCATGCGACTGCCAACGGAACTGCTACGCACTTGGTGGGCTGAAGTGCAAGGCCCGCCGAACGCTCGGCGAGCATATAGGAGCCGTCTTGAATCAAACTCGCTTCTTGCCCCTCCTGCATGCCACCTTCGGGGAGGAGGAGGAGAAGGAGGAGGAGGAGGAGGAGGAGGAGAGGGAGGAGGAGGAGGAGGAGGAGGAGGAGGAGGAGGAGGAGGAGGAGAGGAGGAGGAGGAGAAAGAGGAGGAGAAGGAGGAGGAGGCGGAGGAGGAGAGGAGGAGGAGGAGGAGGAGGAGGAGGAGGAGCGGGAGGACGAGGAGAGCGCCCGTGGCTTCGCAAAAGTGCGGCTAGCCTCGTGGCAGGCGGAGCCTCTCAGGCCGCTGCCGCTGTGTCGTAGTGCTTGAAGTAGTTGCTCTTGGCATGCGCCAGGGCCCCGGTGTGACGGGCGGGGGAGGAATTGGATCGAGAATCTTGACGTTTTGGGCCCCTTGTGGGCCTCCGCATCACGACGTCCACCGACCACGAGTGGCCAATGCGCCGCCAGGCGCACGGCTGTCTTGTCAGTCCAATCATAGCCGTGCTGCATTTCCTCCGCATGTGTCCCGAGTGGCCGCCCCCGTGGGCATTCAGGCCTGAACAGACCTGACCTTTGGGCCTCTGCAAGCCTCTGCAAAGGCCTGCTGAGGCCTCCAGCGACCTCCGGGGGGCCTCCGGGGGGCTCCAGATGACCTCCAGAAGGTGACATCTGGGGGGCCTCCAGAGGAGCACGAGTTTAAATCAGGCTTCGGGCTGGTTCCCTCTGCCGCCTTCGCCAGCTTGCGGTTCATCTCGGCCGTCTTGTCCTGGGCGACAGCGGCGCTCCCAGACAGCAGGTGTGCATCTGCGAGTCCAATCGTCGTCGGAATCGCCCTGCCCACAAGCTTTTTCCATCTTCTCTCTCTCTCTCTCTCTCTCTATCTCTCTTTCTGTCTCGATCTGCCTGCACGCAAATGTGCCTCTGCCCCCCTGTTTCTCTGCCTTTGCCTCCCAATCTGCCCCTCTATCTGGCCTCGCCTCTGTCTCTCCATATATCATCCACTGTGTGTACCCCCTCTCCAGCTGAATCTGTCTGCACCTCATCACTCCGTCGCTTTGTCCATGTCTTCGCCGAACGATTTCAAACCACCTGCAAGATATGATGCCACATATCAGTACCACTCGCAAGAGAAAACGGATACCGACAAGTTACAATGATAAAGTGACTGTCCGACGTTGTAAAACGGTGAACTGAACTGATTAGGTCACTGCCTGTATCTGGTGGGGTCTGGCATAAGAAAACCTATACAACATATGCAGCTGGCAAAATTTCAATAAACTCAGTGGGAAGCCGTGAAGTTATGAACTTGAGCCTTTCCCTGACAGCTGGCACATACTCGTTGTAAGCAGTGGCGGCCTGTAGCGGTGCAACACAAGTAAGTTTCTGTAACAACCCTGGATCAAGAAGTTGGCAAGTCCACTCGTGCCTCGTCAGGGCCGCACGGCGGCTTCAGGTTGTCCTGTAAGGATGCCCTTGATGGCCTAGCCTGAGAGACGAAGGGAGCAGCGGCAAAAGCATACAGTAGGCCCTGGCGTATTTCATGCTGGCAGACTATGACAAAGGGCCCCATGAGGATCCCAAAAAAAGTATCGCACGTGGCATGGGAACTAGCAGCACTGCTACGCGCCGTGGGATCTCTCAAAGGGTTGTGATATCCGCCGGCCCCTTCACGCTTGAACAGGGCAGGCATGCTGGAAACGCCGCACACATCTCGCGAGAGGGCAGCAGAACACCTCTTGTTCAGAGCATGAAGGGGCTGGCTGGGCAGCAGAACTGCACTCGAGAGGGGGAAGAAGAAGGAACGAGTAAGGAGGCCGAGGAGGAAGGAGAGCAAGGGGGCCGAGGAGCACCCAATGGGCTCCACACCTGCCAAACCTTCAGCATGAAAAGAACAGCGCTTCAACACCGACAGCAAAACGTGTCTACTATGCTTCCGACACAAGGAGTTGGGAGAGGACGAGGCAGACCCGCGCGCCGCTCTGACAGCTCGCGGCACGGCCACCGAAGGTGTTTCGTGGCTGCAGCGCCCTCGTCTTCGGCGGCGGCGCGTCCTTGATGTCGGTCTCGGCGTTTTCCTGGGAACCCGAAGCCCAACTCTCCCTCCTCTCTCTCTCTCTCTCTCTCTCTCGCTCCCCCTTTCCTGCACAGAGGAGAGCGCGGCGGAAGGACAGAATGCTTGCTGGCGTAGACCCCAAACAGCGGGTTGTGGCACTCTCGATGTGCACTCGTATGTGATGCAATCTATGTGATACAACCTTCGTGGTGCAATCTATGCGGTGCAATTAATCTTGAACGTCTTTCAGTTGTCAACCCCACTGCTCGCACAAACACCCCACCCAACCACCCACACTTCTTCGGCAAGAAACCCAGCTGGCCGGCGACAACGACGATGACGATTACACTGGCGATGTTGATGACGACGGTGGGGGCGCTTTTGACGACGGCAACGATAAGGAAGCTGATGGTAATGATAGAGACGAGGCAGCGATGACGCTGGCGATGATGAGGATGTTGCTGGTGATGAAGATGAAGTGATGGCCACACGCAATGAAAACTTGACGAGGGCAATGACACCGACGATGACGACGATGACGGCGGCGGTGACTATGCCGACGATGATGATGTGATGATGCTGACGGCGTCAATGATGACGCTGACGATGATGATATTGTTCGGGATGACGACAATGATGAGAAATTGAGCGCCGCCAAAATTCAACTGCATGGCATGCGATTAAGGCAACTTGTATAGATGCAGTATGTGCTTGCACACACGCGTGCCGAAGTGGCTAGGAAAAGCAACGGCTTGGGAACGTTTCCAATGTGCGCGCGCGGCCAACGCGCGCGTGTGGCAGGCATGGTGAAAGAATTGGTGGGCGTGCGATGGTTGAACGTGTTCGACATGCGCGCGCAACTGGCCCACATGACCTGATTTAACAAGATAGTGGCTAAAACTATGTGATGTTATGAAGCTTCCAGCGAGTGCGCGTGCGCCGCATGTTTGGCAAGGTGTTTGCTGGTTCCACGTGTTGAACCTGCTCAGCAACCAATAGTGTTTGAAGGACTTTGACTTGCGCGCGCGGCGGCGCGCGCATGTGCCCAAGAGTGCATCTGCTGCCCCCAAGAATACGTGCAAAAACACGTTTGAACCACCAATGGCGCTTGAAGAGCCCAGGAGGCCCCAAGAAGGCCCCCAGAAGCATCCAGTATGCCGTCAAGGAGGCAGGAAGGAGGAGAAGAAAAAGGATGAGGAAGAAAAGAAGGAGCGTCGTCTTCGTAGCCGTCGTCCATTATGACGCGAATCCGGAGCGCCCCAGATCGGCGGCACTGGCCGGAGGCCACTACAACATGTGCAAAGAACACGTTTGAAACCACCAGTGGTGCTTGAAGGATGCTGACATGTACGCGGCGCGGCGCGCGCGCACGCGCCCAAGACTCCGTTCTTGTTGCAAGGGATGCTTCGCAAAAAAACGCTTCTGGCTGCAGCGCACGTGCACCGCATGGAATTATTCGACAGGCATGAGGGGGAATCGATATTGGGCATGATTCCGCATGGAAAATGAACGTTGCTGCAAAATGACATGCGAATTGCATTACGAAAATATTGTTATATCTATATTTATACACACAAATATATATATATATATATATATACAACTCCGGCCTCAACGGGGGGTATTCATTACCCGTTTAGAAAAGTGAGCACATGGTGTGCAAGCTACGGGATGCAATTAACGAAGGGAGCTCCACCGAAGGCCCCAATGGCGGTGTCTGTTTGCGTTTCCCCACCCAGTACCACGTTCGTGGCCCCGTATGGAGCTCCACCGAGGGACCCAGTGGCGGTGTCCGCATGCGTTTCCCCCACCCCGTACAACGCCTCGTGGCCCCATGGGGAGCCACCAAAGGCCTCAGTGGCGGTGTTCAGATGCGTTTCCCCCGCCCAGTACAGCGCTTGGTGGCCCCATCACCGAAGGCCCCAGCGGCGGCGTTCGCATGCGTCTCCCCTGTTCAGCACAGCGCTTCGTGGCCCCATAGGGAGCTCCACCAAAGGCCGCAGTGGCATGGTTCGCATGCCGCCCCCTCCACTTTGGCACACCATTCACACGTTTCGTGGCCCCGTATGGAGCGCCATCGAAGGCCTCGATGGCTGCGCCCGCATGCGTCCCCGCCCCATTTCGGCGCACCCTTTACTCGCTTCGTGGCCCCATGAAGAGATCCACCGAAGGCGCTACCCACAACGGCGAGATTCACAACTGCATGAGGTTGGGCCCTTCGCCAGGATAATCTTACGAACAGCTGCTGCATGCTGTTAAAAATCTTGAAAATCTGTATGTCAAGTTGGTTTAAATAGGAGTTGCGGCCGTTTACGGTGAGCAACATTTGCTTAGCGTGTCGCGGCGGCGGCCCCAGCGACGCGCTATGCCCTGCGAGGGTGTGGGAGGCTGGGACGAGCTCGGGACGTTGACGCTTTGAAATGGCGACTTGGTTAGCGTGTCGCGCCCAAGCGTGGTGGGCCAGAACCGGCAGAGCCATACGCTAAGCAGAAGTTCTTGACCGCAGCTTCTCCCTCCTCCGCTCCCTGCCTCACGCGAGGGGGACTGGATTGAGCAACGACTGCCCCAGGGCACGAGAGCGACCCAGTCCTCCAGCCGACGCCGCGGACGAGCCGTGTCACCAGAACGGCACAAAAGCCGTTGCGAGACAGAGTGGAGTCTCCAGCTGCCTCTGGAGGTGAACGCCACGAGCGCGCTGACATGAGAGGACGAGGCGCAAGCGACCTCCGAACCACTGCTGCATGTCACTCACGCTGACGCGGTGTGCTCACCAGTGGTCGTCGGGCAGGCTCGAGATCCTTCGCGTCAGCCAGGTCCATCATCACCATGCCGTACGCCTGCTGCGAGCTCATCTCCTCCCTCCGGGACTGCCCCAGCTTCTCCCGGAACCTGGAGGGGAAATTGCAGACAGCACCTCGGCGTCGACCCCGAGCGGTCATCGCCCAGGATCCCGAACCACTGGAAGTCGCACATCGCGCCCCGCGATGCGCAACGCGCGTTCATCTTCTCGCCCGCGCGCCCTTGCGCCGCCCCCTTGGCGAGGGACGGCCGCTCTGGCCCAGACCGCGACGCGAGAGGCGCGGTTATCTTCGGGCCCCTTGGGGTGACCTGGAGGGCCTGTCCGCTGGGACGGGACGGACAGGCGGAAAAACAACAAACAAACAAACAAACAAATAAACAAAACGGACAAAACAAAGGGGCGCACCCAGCATGAGACAAAACTTCCTGCACACTGGCGGGAGGCTGCAGACCTCCAGGGGGGGGGGCACCGACAGGGCACGCCCCCAGGAGAGAAAGAGAGACAGAGGCAATAGGAGGAGGCAAAAGAGGAGGAGGGCTGGTGAGGGAGGGCTCGCGAAGGGGGAGGAGGAGGAGCAGGAAGAGGAGGAGGAAGAGGAGGAAGAGGTAAATGGGGCACCAGGAGGGGGGAGGGCTGGCGAGGGCGGAGGAGAGAAGTGGACCGATGCAGAACGTCTCTCTCTCGCAGCAGCAGCAGCAACAACAAAGCGCGGGGGGCTGGTGGAGAGAAGTGCACTGAGGCAACCTCAGGCTGCACGTGGCCCAATGTGCGCTAGATGGCGGGCTCTGGAAACTCTGAACCAACAAAAAAAGTGTGACATGTCTTTGGGGTGCTTCTTTTACTTCCGCCAGCTTCCGCCAGCCTACCGCCGGCTTCCGCTGGCGGAGTTGCCCTCGCTTTACTCCCGCCGCCTTCCGCCGCCCTCCCGCCGCCTTCCGCCAGGACGAGGTATCAACTCCTTCGATCCTCGAAGGCAAGGCTCTGTCTGGAGCGCCCCCTAGATCCAGGCTGGCGCAGCGGAGCGGCACCTCTGGGGGACGGGGAGCTCAAAGGAGGTCTGATGTCATGTCCACAACGAGCGCACGCACGCAAGCGCCGGGTATTTCGGCGCGCGAGATCGGGGCTCTGGAACTCGTCCTCCAGCTTCTTGAGCATCTCGACCTGAGCTCCTCCTCTTCTTCCCACTTCCACTTCTCTTCTCACCCCTTCTCCTGCTCCTGCTCCTCCTCCTCCTCCTCCAACTTCTCCTCCTCCTCCTCCTCCTCCTCGAGCTCCTCCTCCTCCTCCTCCACCTCCTCCTCCTCCTCCTCCTCCTCCTCCTCCTCCTCCTCCTCCTACTCCTCCTCCTCCTCCTCCTCCTCCTCCTCCTCATCTCCTCCTCCTCCGCAGCCATCATCATCATCATCATCATCATCATCATCATCATCATCATCATCATCATCATCATCATCATCATCATCATCATCATCATCATCATCATCATCATCATCATCATCATCATCATCATCATCATCATCATCATCATCATCATCCTCATCCTCATCCTCATCCTCATCCTCATCCTCATCCTCATCCTCATCATCGTCCTTCATCCTTTTTTCCGTATAATTGACTCCTCCCTGTCGCACCCCGAAGCCGGTCGAAAGGGCGGGCCAGGCGTTTCTCCTGGGATTTCCTCACCACCTACTATCCTGAAGCTTCACATTTGCAAGAGCTTCATGGATGGAGGGCGGGTGGTTTTCGAAATGTGGATCTCGCCTTAGCGCCGCGCACATCCGTTTTAAGAGTTTACAGCAGCTTCAAGGATTCGCATGGCTAACGCCCCAGAATTGTGTTTTGGCACGATGTCGGATTGCCAGGGCACACACCAGCTGCGTTGATTCGTGGTATTGAAAATCCAAGAGAGGTGGGTTGGCACGATTCAAGATCGTCAAGACGCAACTGTAGCTCTGACTCGCGGTGTGAAGTCCCAGGACTGGTGTTCTGGCACAGTTCTGGATTCGCAAACGGTAGTTCTCCAACGGGGCAGTTCTTTAGTGACAATGAAGCCTTGTAAGGGGTCCTTAAAGAGGAAATTTGGGGGGAGGGTTTATTGCAATATCGTTGGAGAGTCTTGGGTTTACACTGGTCCTCCTCGCCATCCTCCTTCCCCTCCTCCTCCTCCTCCTCCCCATCATCATCAACAACGACAACAAAGACAACAACAGCAACGACGACAACAACAACGACAACAACAACATCAACATCAGCATCATGAATGTCATCCCTATCCTCCCCCCCCTCATCTCCTCCTCCCTCTCATCCCCCTCTTCATCCCCCCCTTCCTCCCCCTGTTCTGTCCCCTCTTCCCCCTCCTTTTTTTCCTCCCTCCCCTGAGTCACCACTTTTTGCTCACCCTTCTCCTCCTCCTCCTCCGCCGCCTCCTCCTCCTGCTCCTCCTCCCCCCGCCTCCTCCTCCTCCTCCACCTCCTCCTCCATTCCTTGTCCTTATGAACAACTTCTCCCTGTCGCACCCCGAGGCAAGTTTTTTTGGGCGGGCCCTGCGTTCCGCCTGAGACTTCCTCACAATTTATGAATATGAAGCTGAAAAACTGGCAACAGCTTCACAGATGGAGGGCGTGTCGTTTTCAAAATGTGGCTCTCGCCGCGGCGCACATTCGTTCTAAACATTTGCAAGAGCTTCACGGATTGTGGGCGGTTCCTTTCCAAAATGTGACTCTCGCCTTAGCGACGCGCACATTCGTTTACAACAGTTGCAAGGGTTTCACGGATTCCAACCATCAACGTACCAGAAATGGTGTTTCGACCGGAATCAGGATTTGCGGGTGCAACAGTTATGTTGATTCTCTCTGCTGAAATCCTAGGAATGACGTTCTGGCACAATTCAGGATCGTCAAGACGCAACAATCAGGTTGGTCCGTGGCGTTGGAATCCCGAGAACAGTTTTTGGTATGCTTCAGGGTCTTCAAACGGGTGTCTTCCAACGAGGAAGTTCCATCAATGGAAATGAGCCGTTGTATGAGGCCCATGAAGAGGGAGCTTGGAGGCAGAGATTATTCCAACATCGTTGATGACTCTTGGATTTAGACTGATCCTCCTGCTCCTCATCATCATCATCATCATCATCATCATCATCATCATCATCATCATCATCATCATCATCATCATCATCACCATTATCAGTAGCATCATCATCTGCAGCATCATCAGCAGCATCATCAGCAGCATCATCATATCATCATCACCACCATCGTCATCATCATCAGTATGATCATCGTCGTCATCACAATCGTCATCATCAAAACTGTCGGTATCATCATCTTTACCATCATCGTCATAACTGTCGTCATCGTCATCCTCATCATAGGTACGTATCAGAATCATCAGCACCAGAAGTATTATGATCATCATCATCATCATCATCACCATCATCAGCATCATCATCATCATCATCATCATCATCGTCATCATCATCATCATCACCATCATCGTTATCTTCACCACCATCATCATCATCATAGTCATCATCATCGTCGTCAGCAGCATCGTCATCGTCATCATCATCATCACCACCAGCATCATCAACATCAGCATCATCATCAGCAGCAGCATCATCATAGTCATCATCAGCATCCTCGTAATCCTCGTAATCGCCATCGTCATCGCTAGCGTCATCATGATCATCAGCACCAGCATCATCATCATCATCGTCATCATCACCATCCTTAGACTCGTCATCCTCGTCATCATCATCATCAGCAGCATCAGCATCATCATGTTCATCATCGTCATCATCGTCATCATCGTCATCATCAGCAGCAGCAGCATCATCACCATCATCATCATCATCATCATCATCATCAGCAGCATCATCACCATCCTCATCAGCAGCAGCAGCAGCATCATCCCGATCTCCCCCCTCACCTCCCCTCCCCTCCCCTTCCCTCCCCCCCTCCGTCTCGTACCCCTCCTCCTCGCCGTCCTCCCCCTTGTCTTCCCCCTCCTCCCCCTCTTCTTCCCCCTCCTCATCCTCCTCCTCCTCCTCACCACCACAATCCCCACCACCACCGTCACCATTACCGTCATCATCGTCATCGTCATCATCATCAGCAGCAGCATCATCATCACCATCAGCAGCAGCATCATCAGCATCATCAGCATCATCAGCATCAGAAGCATCATCAGCATCAGCATCATCATCATCAGCATCATCATCATCAGCATCATCATCATCCTCACCATCATCATCATCATGCTCATCATCGCCACCATCATGATCATCATCAGCATCGTCATCATCATCATGATCACCCTCATCATCATCATCATCATCATCATCATCATCAGCAGCAGCATCATCATCATCATCATCATCATCATCATCATCATCATCATCATCATCATCATCATCATCATCATCATCATCATCATCATCATCATCATCATCATCATCATCATCATCATCATCATCATCATCATCACCACCACCACCACCATCATCATCATCATCATCATCATCATCATCATCATCATCATCATCATCATCATCATCATCATCATCATCATCATCATCATCATCATCATCATCATCATCCCGAGCGCCAGGGATCGGCGGCACTGGCCAGAGGCCATGGCAATAGGCTGTTCCCTTCGGGTTTCGAGGGGCCTATCCGCAACTGGAGTGCCGAGATGGTGGGGCTGAGATACTCTGGCCTGGTGGGGATGGGGATTGGTTAAACGATACTGATGTAAGCCATTTAACGTCGTTGGTATCGCGGTGTTGGTTGGGAAAGCGGCGGGGGGGCGCAAATCAGCTCACGTGTTCCCCCCTGGCGCCGGAGGCGCCCACGTCACCGAGAAAGCACAGCTGGGGGAGCGCGCCCCGGCGGCGAGGGCCGCATCTGGCGGCGCGCCGCGATCTCGCCAAACCTCCCCTTCCCCGGTGCCCCTCCCCTCCGTCTCGCCCGACCCCGACACGCCGCGGGCGAAGGGTGGGCGGTGCCCGCGGCAGCGCCCGGCGGCGGGGCTGCCCCTCTGGGCGGGCCTGGCGCGCCGCTGGCGACCCCCCACCCCCCAGGCCCCCGGCGTCGTGATTTTGCCATAGCCATAGCGTCGACCCCCAGAGGTCTGGACCCATTCCCCGGGGAACACCCCGTTCTCCTGAGTCGTCGTTTGACGGCCCCGAGGCCCAGGCAGGGCCCCCCCCCCCCACAGGCCGAAGGTAGCGAAGCTCCCTCCGTCGTGGTTTTGCTCGCGACTCCACGCGGGTCTGGGCCTCTCGCGCCCGCCCCGCCCCGCCCGCTGGGGTCCGCGGGGGGCTGCGCCGAGGCAGCGGCGATGCTCGTGGACTGGAACTCGTACGCGTTGGCCTGCGGCGCGCGCGCCTCTCGCGAAAGGCCCGAGGCGCCCGCGCCCGCCGAGGCGGCCAGAGGAGGGCGAGGAACGACTGGCAGACCCTAGAAGACGGAGCTGGGAGTTCGAATCGGGGATCAACTACAGAATTGATTTACTCCGCAATTGATTTTCCCGCCGAATATGCAAAAAAACACGCAGCATGTCCGTAGTTCTACGGGAGATTGTACGCATTTGCTCGTAGATTCGGCGGGGAAATCGAAGATTGGGATAAATCAATTCTGTAGTCGATCCCCTAATTATTCGAGGAATGGGCCACGATCGAAGCCTCCCGTCGTGACTGCTTCCTGCCTCGACTGGGGGGGGCTGGGCCCGTCGCCCCCTGGGCCTCTCGACAGCGCCCAGGGGGCCCCCGCCAGGGGTGGTCCTGGGGGGGAGGCCCTCTGGCGGCCCTGGGGCGCCCTCGCGCCCGCTCCCCCCCGTTTGCTTCGGCGGCGAGCGAAGGGGGGGGGGGGGGGGATTGGGCGGCGCGGCCGTCTCGGAACGCTCTGAGGGTGTCCTAAGGGCGCCCTGGAAGGACTCGCCCTGGTCCTGGCCACGCCCGAAGCCCTGAGATCCAGGCATCGCAAGTTCTTCACTCCAGGCGGGCGTCTTCGCCAGGACTCGGGCCCCGGGGCCCCCGCAGCTCGATCTGGCTCTAGAAGTGCCGCAGAGGGACTGTGTCTGGGGCTCTGGCTGCGAGCTCCCAATATGTCTCCCTTGCTGTTCGCGACGTCGGATCTCCGGGAAGGGCGGAGCGCGCGGGTCGCGGCGCCGAGGGGTGAAGGGGTGCTGGGTCAATAGCATCGTGAGGCGAGCAAAGCAGTGCGTGCAGAGACGGGGTGCACGGGTGATCGCCCGCTCCCGACGAAAAAAGGGACGGACGGCCGTCAGCTGCAAGGATCAGGCCCCGCGTCCCCGCACTCTTCACGGGCCTGGCCGTCTCTGCAGCTTGCAGGGGCCCAGGGGGGCGAGCACGGCGGGTCGGGGTGGGAGCGGAACGGGAGGGGGGAAGAGGGGAGACGGGAGGAGGTGATAAGGGAGATGGGAGAAGGCTAAGCTAGGCGCGCTCGCGCCATATGTGGCATTCCTACCCCTGCCACCCGTCCCGTCCCATCGCGCCGGATTCTTTCTGTCCGCCGACTGGGATTTCGCGCAATCAGAGCGAGGGACTTTGCACATTGAGGAATAAGGATCGGGTGGTGGATGAGTAAGAGAACGAGCAGGAGAAAGACCAGGATGATGACGAAGGGGAATGCGGAAGAGTGACAAGAAGGGGGGCGGCAACGACCGCGCCAGGGCGAGAAAGCCGTTCTGACCTCTGCGGCCCACGCTCCCGCGGGAACACGGCTCTGGCAGGGCCCGGACCGCGGTCCGGTCGACGAAAACCGTGCCGGGAAATCACCTCGGTGGCACCCCGTGCGTGGAAAAGCATACGCGGGAGGAGCGGCGGCACCACTGATCGGCGGCGCGCCCGGGTGGGGAGCGAGAGGGAGTGGGCCCTCTCAGAGGGCTCGGACGTCCCCCTGAGCCTTCCGAGAAGTCTTCCGTGAGCCTTCCCCGAAGGCACCAGGAGCTTCTCAGAAGGCGCAAGGGCCTCCGGGAGGCCCCGCGGCCTTCTGCGAAGGCCTTCTCCTCCTCACCTCGCCCCCTCGCTCGCCGCCCAGCCGAGCAGCAACCGGAGGAGAGAATACGGGTCGCGCTCACGCGTTGAAAACCGTGGACGAAGAGGGAGGGAGGGAGGCACAGCAGAGGCTCGTGCCGTGCCGACTCCAGCGCTGGCTTCTGCCACCGCGGGGCCTCGTTCAGCCTCGAGGGATCGGTCGCATCGCTCAACGTCGAGCGATTCTAAGTCGCCGGCGGCGTTCAACGTCGTTCAAACTCGAGTGATCGGCCGCTTCGTTCAACATCGACCGATTCTAGGTCGCCAGCGGCGCTCAACGTGGAACGCCAGCGGCGGAGTCGCCGCCAGTCGACACGCCACGAACCTACCACAGGAGAATCCTTAACAGGGGAACGCAAAAATGTATAAGCCTAAACTCTCGGAGGCCCGCGCGGATTTCTTGGATCGGCGCTGGACCACCCTCCCTGGCGCGCTCCGCACGCCCGTGGCGGCGCCGGAGGCGCTGCCAGGGGGGCGCTGGTCCGAAAAAAACACGCTGACCTCCGAAGGTTTATGTTCATGTCACTTCCTCCTGATAGGCTTGCCTTTAAGAGTCCGACCTGACTGCATCGAAAACTGGGCCCGTTGATACACACCCATCCATGTTGCCCAAAACCATGGCAATAGCTTCCTCTGCTATTGCCATGGCTTCCTCTGCTACTGCATTGGCGTCCTCTCCTATTGCAGCGGGTTTCTTGGCAAGTGGCATGGCTTCCTGTGGCTATTCCAATGGCGTCCCAACAGTCGACCAACAATCGTCAAAGTCAGAACAGGAGTACGAGTAGAATGGAATAGAGTGGATAGAGCAGAGTAGAGCATAATCGAATGGAGCAGCGAAAAGTACATGAGTAGAGTAGATGATGATAGAGTAGAGGAGAGCAGAGTAGCGTAGAGCAGAACAGGCTATGAGTAAAGGGGAGGAGTGGAGTGGAGTGGAGAGGAGAGGAGAGGAGAGGAGAGGAGAGGAGAGGAGAGGAGAGGAGAGGAGAGTAGAGTGCAGTGGAGTAGAGTGAAGTGGAGTAGAATAAAGTAAAGCAGAGTAGAGTCGAGTCGAGTGGAGTGGAGTCTAGTAGACTAGACTAGACTAGACTAGACTAGACTAGACTAGACTAGACTAGACTAGACTAGACTAGACTAGACTAGACTAGACTAGACTAGACTAGACTAGACTAGACTAGACTAGACTAGACTAGACTAGACTAGGCTAGACTAGACTAGACTAGACTAGACTAGACCAGACTACAGACTCGACTAGACAAGACTAGACTAGACAACTAGACTAGACTAGACTAGACTAGACTAGACTAGACTAGACTAGACTAGACTAGACTAGACTAGACTAGACTAGACTAGACTAGACTAGACTAGACTAGACTAGACTAGACTAGAACCGAGCAGCGTATAATAGAGTAGAGTGAGTAGGCTATAGTAGAGTAGAGTAGACTAGAGTAGAGCGAGAGCAGAATAGGAGAAGAGTAGAGTAGAGCAGAGTAGAGGGAAGAAGACGAGAGAAGAGGCGAAGAGAGGAGAGGAGACGAGAGGAGAGGAGACGAGGGGAGAGGAAAGCAGAGGACAGTAGAGTAGAGTAGAATAGAGTAGAGTACTGTAGAGCAGAGTAGGGTAGAGTAGAGCGGAGTGAAGTGGAGTTGAATGGACAAGGACCGCACACGGACATTATGTTCTTACCCTGTGGCCCAAGATGCCCCCCAGACCCCCCGACATGAATATTGAGGGCGTTGAGGAGGGGGCGTGAGTGGACAGGAATATTCGAAGCCCCAAGGCACCACCTCACAGAGATCAACATTGATTTCTGGGGCGGGGGGGTCAGAAATCCCCTCGAACATGTAATGGCTCGAAAAGTTGGTCCATCCACTGGAGTAGGATATGAGTGCACTGGCCGAGATTAAGAGGGCAGGCGGTCAATAGCACGAGACGGGAAGAGAAGAGAAGAAACGATGGTCAACGTCCCAGCTCGGCGAGAAGTGGCACCTTCCTGTAGACCTGGCAGAGGCGGGCCTTCAGCACTCGACGAAGCCTTCCTTCGCCCGAGAGCCGAAAGGTCCCCTTATGATTATGGTAGTTGAAACATACAGCATCAAGAAAGAGCGCATACGACAGAAGCTGCTCACCCGGGAGAGGAAGCAGGGGGGAGACAGCAGCACGCGAGGGACCACCGAGAGAGGACAGGGCAGGAGGGAGACGAGGGAGCAGGGGGGGCAATGGCGGAAGTTAGAACCTCAGGTTCAAGCATGTGAAGGACCAAATCGGGGGCCTCAGGATGGGAACAAAACCGACACACTTAGGTAGGGCCCCGAGATCGTTTGGACGTCGTCCATGCGTCGCATATGGCACGGAGAATGGATGGCAAGACACACGGCGGAACCTTATCCGCCATCGTGTTGAAAGCTCTGAATAGGAGGTCAAGCTGGGGCAGGGTGATCGGATACCAGTGACGAGCACGCGCCTGGATCTTGGGCCAGGGCGAATCTCCTGCGAGCTCGAGCAGCCTGTGTTCAATGTTCTGCTGGAAACCTTTAAGACCGAATTCAGGCATTCGGGGAACACGGCTAAGAGAGCCATGATTCTCACAGAGGGTCTTAAAGCTAGAGTTCTAATATAAAGGCCTACTCTCCCAAGCAACAACACACTCGCCCGACGAACTAAACAGATCAAAGAGATCACGTATCTCGCGAAAAAACTTTCGAGCGGGAGGCGAGCCGAAACATAGAGGCCCGAGCCACAGAGTACATATTACGAGCCAGGGTGGGAAAACCGTCAGATACCGTCAGATTTGAGACAGCACAGAAGAGACTCACTACACGCGTTCCGCGGGCCCTCAGTAAGAATTTGCAGAGCACGACCTTCGGTGTACAGGGTATCGGCGTCGGGGAGGTGGAACTGGGCAATGAGCGAGGGGGTGCTGAAATCGAACACATTATACCGAGTAAAAACTGTTCGCGTGGCCAAGGTGCAGGGACTTAGCGCGGGCGACTCGGTCGATATACTGACTACAAGGAGCTCGCCACGATTCATGCCAACCGTCGAGACCGATCCAGAGACCAAGGTACTTACCAGTATCAGTAAGGATCAAGCGTCGACCTCGAATCCCCAGCGCACGCAGACGGGCGGGGAAGACAGAGCGGGCGGGCAGCTGGGGCATCACGATCTGGGCGCCTTCGAGCTTAAGAACAAGGCCGGCTGCACCGCCTGCAATATACCAGATCTGGAGCGCGATGGCTAGGGCAGTGTAAATACAGCCGCCAGTGATGCCCACATCATCTGCAAGCGCTCCAAGATGGAACTGATCAGGAGGGA